TGTTACGCATAAGTGATTATTTACGGAATAACTTGCATGAAATTGCTTTATTGGTTGAGATGATTAGTGGTAAGAATAATATTGTCAATAGAATGAGTATCCATTTTCTAAAAAAATCTCTCTCTAGATGTTAGTTGGTTGGAGGCAATCGTCAGGAAGTCCTGGACCTAGGTTTCGTGCTTTTTGGCACTCGTCAGCAAGGCGTATCTGCAACCTCAATGGGACTGATATCTCTCCTGAATTTGGTTGCACTCCCGTAACCAATCAACACATGTAAACTAGTTTTACAGGAGGTCAATCGCGGCCCGAATAGCTCAGTGGTAAAGTCGCTGACTACAACACAGGGTGACGTGGGTTCGAATCTCAGGCGAGATATCAGTTCCGTCGAGGTTGCAGATACGCCTTGCTGATGACTGCCAAAAGGCCCGAAACCTAGAATTAGGGCTTCCTGCCGATTGCCTCCAACCAACTAACATTTACTAATGTGCACCACAATGCTGAGCTTCCTAGCTTGGTTGCCACATTGCAAATATGATCGATAGAATTCGGACTAGACAACATGAAATTGTTTGCGCTCCCTTGACCAATCAACACATAGATCTCTCTGTCTGTCTGTCTGTACAGGGTCTTGAATTATTTTACCCAACCTTAGGTGATGCCAAAGCTGTTTGCTGTTGAAATAGTTTCTATTAAATGATGGAAAAGATTTGTGGCTCAGAATGAGGATGATAACACTTTCGTGTTCGCTGAGCTTTGATTTTGCCGGCCAAGTAACCTCAGTATATGGTTCCTTCTACAAGTAATCTCTAAACGATAATAGAAAAAACGAGAAAAAAAAATATCGAAGAACCACTACTGTCTGTGATAATTAATTTTTTTTAACCCAATATAAATCACACTTGAAGTCATCATTGTACATTCGTTTTTTTCTTCATAAAGCTGTAATTTTGAAATGCTCATACTCAATGTCAGTACACGTGGAATTGAGCAATTATAACCGTATTATTATTGTCATCATTCTTTTGTTTATTCCTTTTTATTCACATAGAAAGGATTCACCGCCCTACATTTGGCTGCTAAACGTGGTCAAGCCAAAGTGGCGAGACAATTGATTCAAGCACAACCTAAAAGTGTCAATGCCACTGGTCAGAACGACTTAACTCCATTGCATGTAGCTACACATTATAATCGTCTACCTGTTGTACAATTACTGCTTGATAATGATGCACAAGTTGACTGTCGTGTAAGTAAATTTTCGCTTTAAAATTGAAAGATTTCTGTTTATAGCTGATGACATGTAGAACACCTGTGTGTGTATAGATACGTTTAGTAGAAAGTCGTCTTCAATAAGCCAATCTACTCGTAACGCTAAACGACAACCACCACCACAACAACAATAACTGAAGTTTGTGTACATTACACCGGTTCGATCCTTGGATCGTTGTTATTATATTGTTTAGTGGCTTATATTTAGTTCCCAACAAAATGTAATAACCTTAATAATCCTGAAGTGTTTCAGACAAATGATCATGTCACATTTGTTTTCATCTAATAACTGCTGGAATTGTTCTTAACCAGCGAAGTGTACAGCATATCGAATCGTTACGAAACGATAATTGGCAAAAAGATGAATGAATTGTCAGATATGCAATTATCATTTCTCATCTATCTAGGTCAAAGTTATTACTCCCGCCATCATGATCAATGCGCAATGAGTATTACCGGATGAATGTTTCATTCTCGAAAATTCTTATATCATCATTATGTACGTGGTAAATCGGATGAAAAAGAAGTTATGGGGATTATCACTTCCACCAATTGTTCAGCCACCAACAGCATCGTGTTGTGGTCTTCTTTGAGCTTTAAAGGTTTCATCATGAGACTGGATGAGATAGTAACGTCACTGATGACAAAATGTCGAACTTCAAAGAACACTGAACTCTATCATGATGCTCATCATGAGCTATGTATCTTTCTTCTTGAGTCGTCATATAGGGAAATGTAGTTAATTCATTATAGAGTAATAATTGATTATGTATGCAAACTTCATCCTGCTCATTTTGGTTTGAATATCATCATAAAGCGTTAAAAACTAAGTGAGGCTCATAAACTGGTAAATAAGTTTTTTTGTTACAAGTACATAAAAATTTAGTCTTTGTTGAACTTTTGTGATCATGTCAGTTGGGAAAAATCAACTCAGAAACAAAATTAAAGCAGTTCTCAGTTTCAGGTTGATACTCACCACAGACTGACATAAGTTGTAGGGACATTGGGAACCTGGGAACACTAGACAGCTGTTTCGCTGTAGTATGATTCTCCTTGGCAGTGCACACCCATAACCCCACCGGGGGTTGAATCCAAGACCTCCAGGTTCCATGGCAAGCACGTTACCATCGAGGTAGCGATATGGTACCCAATGGTCCAGATTTCCTGCTTCTGCCAGCTCATGATATAGCGTGACCTCCATCCAATGCCGTCATTGAGTAACTGTCTTCGTCCTTGGTTGATCCCAAGGGTCACGACTTTCCATCTCGAAGCAACTTCACCAGTGACCAGTAGAGGAATTCATTTTGGAGGTTCATGGGGATTTATTTATTGAATTCAGGTTGATATTCACCAGCAAGTTGGGTGTGAAGACAGTTACTCAACGACAGCATTGGATGGAGGTCGCGCTGTATCGTGAACTGACGTTGAATTCCAACTCAGCGGGTCAATAGTAACTTGCTCATCACGAATTCGATTGCTGTGGAGATCATGAGTGCCTACTGCTTAGGAGTCCCATACTAGTGGTCCAGTACTCCTAGATGTCCAATATTTCTTTAACTGATATCATTTTGCGGTGAATATCTCCCTGAAGTTGATGAATAGATCCCCAGAAACCTCCAAATTGATTTCTGAATTTATTAAAGTGACTTATACCATTTGTTTCTTATATATATAATTAATGTAACCCACATGACGATTTACATGCACATATAATGAATGACTTCTGGTGTATTACTGATTTGTTTCATCACTGCAATTATTTCTTTTTCCTCCTTTTCACACTTCTAGTCAACACATGTTCAGGTGTTCAGTTCTTTTTTAATATGTGACGAAAGTGCATGTACATATCCAAACGTGCAATAGATGACATTATCTGACTTTAGTTAATTAATTTACAAAAATTAACTATTGTTCTTTCATATCATGTGTTTTATTTATGTCCATATGCGTGTACACACGTTACCAGTCACCAGTTTACTTGGTCACTACAAAAGTTCTAGTTATATGTCAAGGTGGTTAATGGTTACCTCTTGTTTGTTTCTGTATATGAAAGAGAGAGAGAGAGAAGAAGAAGAAGAAGTGTCTGATTAGTAACTGCATGATTCTTGACATCCAAATGAAAGATGGTGGTATATCTGTTCAGCTGATAAATAGGACGGCTGTCCAGTGCTCTTAGGTTTCCTTTGTTCCTCCAACTGATGTCAGTCTACGATAAATAACAACTTGAAATAGGACGGTGTTTTGAAACTGGTAGTAGCGTATACCAGCTGTTCGTGTTGGTATTCTCTTCGAAGACGAGAAAAATATTGAAATTAACTAGATTAAAGACAGTAGCTAGTGGAATTGGGGTTGATTTGGATGTCATATAATACCAGTATCCTGGTTGTTACAGGTTTATAACATCGCAGTTAGCAAGTTATCTCATTTATTAGTTAACCTTCATAAATCCCTGTTATAGGATATTGAACTGAAGAATATTAGCGTTGAATAGAAAGAGAATACAAGTATTCTTGGCACAGAAAACAAAGTAAAGGACCAATGTAAGCATGCTATATTGTGGTAATATGCTAGTCTTACCGTCTGTGGTCTTCACTCATCGATTTCTACCGACTCATGAATAGCAGAGAACCAGAGATTCCTGGTCAAAGTGTCCGTCATTTATTTTCTCTCACACCAATCCCATGCTATGCGACATAATGCCGTCCCATGATACAGCACTGAAGGAACATGTGAACTACTTATTCAGGAAAAGAATAATTTTAAGGAACAGTTGTTTTCAATAACTTCTTCTTCAGCCTCTGCAGTTATAAATCCACGAGAATAAGTGAAATACAATAACCAAAATAAGCCATGATGTACAGTTATTACTAATTTGAAACAGACAATGTTATTAATGAGTGGAGGCAAGTCAAATCGAATGAAATAGTGGGATGGTTATCAGTCTAGTTGTAATTGTGCAATGAAATCAATATGGAGAGAACAATTACGAAATGAGGAGACAGAATCTACAGATAATGATTCTGAGGGAGTTGTGGGGATTCGGAAATGCTTCAAGTTATTATTCATCGTAGACATCAGTTGGAGGAACAAAGAAAACCTGGCGGTTGCGCTATATTGTGAGCTAACAGAAGTTGGATTTTGACCCAGTGGCTCAATGGTAACGTGCTGACCACGGAACCTGAAGGTCATGGGTGCGTACTACTGAGGAGTTCCATACTAGGATTGAACAGCTGTCCAGTGCTCCCAGGTTTCCTTTGTTCCTCCAACTGATGTCAGTCTACGATGAATAACAACTTGAGATAATGATTTATCTATGTACATTTACTGGGGCAAGAATGTGTGTGTGTGTGTTTGTTTACTAATCGTTAAATAATAATCATGTAGTGGTGAATTATATTCAGGTGAGATGAAAATCGTATGAAAACTATAGCGAAATAAAGAATAACAAATGTGGAGTGTTACGCAACGTTTAAAAATGACTACCGGTAGTGGTATAAATAAACAAGGGTATAACACGAATAAAATAAGAAAATGAACGTTTATCAGTGTAATGACAAATAGAAGAAAGGGGTGGGAGGTTAAAGTATGCAATTTGTGGTAGGAAAGTTGATAAAGAACGTGTTGACGTTATTGTGGACCTAGGTAGACACAGTGTATGTACATATTTCTTTTGAACCCATAGAACGTGTTCTCGTGCGTTCGTCCCTATGACTTCGGCTGTGGATAAGATGCGTAGTCGTGCACCTTTGGGGAAATTGCACGGGACACAATCTACCACAGAAAAGGCATGATCTTCCTTGATCTGACTGCACGGTTGATGCTTTTTGTCATTACTTTCCCTAACCAAACTGGTACGTGTTCACGAACGTGGTTGGATAGAGCCTTTTGAGTACGGCCTATGTAACTAGCTCCATAGGAACACTTGAACTTGTAAAAGCACATTGAAGTGGCTATTATTGGTTTGGTTGAGAAGCTGGCAAAAAGTTTCGCTGCGTTGAATGCCTTTTCGACTGATCTATTTAATCGATATTTTAAGATTATCAGAGGCAATATCATCTTTGAAACATCATTCCCTATTTTCACTATTCTCATGGATTTATAACTGTAGAGCCTGAAGAAGAAGTTAATGAAAACAATTGTTTGCTCAAATTACTTTTTTTGTTGATTATTCAGAATTTTTTTTAATTATTACTGTTTATTATTTTTTTTCTGTTGGTTTTCGAATCTCGTAAGTCGTTTCATTTAACTCATGAAGTAGTTAGGATATGTTAACTAACAATTTACTATATTATTTTACGCGAAATTCTCTCTTTTTTTTCCTTAAGGCTGGTAATGGTTATACAGCATTGCATATGGCTGCCAAACAAAATCACTTAGATATAGCAACACTGTTGCTAGCACACGAATCTGATCAGATACAAATAGCCAATGCATCTTCACGTAGCGGATTCACACCGTTGCATTTAGCTGCACAAGAAGGTCATACAGATATGGTTTCGTTATTATTACAACATGGAGCTGATCCAAATCATCAATCCAAGGTATGCTGTATATATTTATTTATCGATATAATAAACTATGCTGTTCAATCATTGAAATTTTATGAGGTTGAAATCACTTTCTTTTCTACTGATTATACACTTTTTGTTAGATAACTTCCTGTAGCCATATAACAAAATGAAATCCTTTTTTGTAATTTTTTAAAAAAAAAATCACATAATAATCGTTGCAAGATGCAACTATCATAAACACAGTAACCTCATAATCACCGTTTTGACGTTTGAAGTGATGCTTATTTGGCTTAAGTTTTATTATGATGCAAGTTCATTCAACTATGTTGTTTCAGATAGAGCTAGAAGGGTTCCTTGATTTCCACCGCTACCCGACAATTAAATATATAATTGATACTCATGAATTGAACATATTTTGAAGAATAGCCTAATTTTTTTCACCTCTTCAACTGACTGACTGTAGTTTATTCATCACTGATTAAGTATTTCAGAGATTGTCTGTACAATGCAACTACCATCTATCTGATCATAAAGGGGATAAGTTATATGACAGATGATTCGATTCGAAGTAGAGAGATGGTGATCACTGATTGTTTTTCAGTTAAACTGCAATATACTGAATCCATAAATCACCTGTACAGACGTCCACTTCTTGCCGTCATGCTTGATTATTGCCCGTTCAACTTATTTCAGTTTCTGATAAAGGTTATTTTGGAATTAACCACTTCTCTTCACCAGATATACTTTTACGTATGTTGTAACCGAACACTATGATATTACATTTTTGCGCTAAATTAAACCCTCACTACAACGCTATCCCTTCCAGTCTAGAAGTAAATTAATAAAATACTTGCTGTTTACGTAATAAATCAAACTATATGCTTATGATAGATAATTAGGTCAGCGGGATCTGTGAACCCATAGCATGTTGAGTGAAGTGTAACTGGAGTAACTATTTTTGAAGGCAATGAGGTTAGTGTATAGTTTGTTACTTGTACGTACCTCACAGGAATTGGCTGTCATGACTCAGTGTCCTAGCGTTTGAAGCGATTGTTCCCGGGCTCGAATCTTAGTGGGAATAACATCGCTCACTTGGGAGGGAGGTGCATGCAGCTAACGAGTCCGAAGTAGGACGAAACGCGTCCTGGATTCCACCTGGCATTTCAAAAGGACTTTTTAATGTTAATTTCTTCACTTGGTATATGCGGTGTTTAGTGATTAGTAGTTTGTAGATTGATATATTTAAAAAAATTATTGAATATTATTTACTACCAAAGATGTGATCCAACTTCTCTGTGTTTGATATCTAACTTCTATTTTTGTTTCCTAAGAACGGTCTTGCGCCGTTACATTTAGCCGCTCAAGAAAATCATGTTTCAGTGGCGCAGATTCTAATATCAGCTGGTGCAGAGGTTAGCCCACTAACAAGAGCTGGTTATAGCCCATTACATACTGCCTGTCATTTTGGACAGATCAATATGGTGCGGTATTTGCTAGATCTACCCAATGCACCAGATATCGACCAACGCACTCAAATGGGCTTTACACCATTACATTTAGCTGCACAACAGTGTCATTCACAAGTTGTTCGTCTTCTCTTAGAGATGGGTGCTGATAGTAATGTCAGAAATCAGGTCAGTGATAGTTTTCTTTGAGATGCTTATATTTGAAATGTTCATATCAATATTTATGGGTCATTCATCTAGATATCAACTTGGTGTACGTCCATTAAACGCTTTTCACTCATTTAAAGTGTTCCCTGTTCCCCATGCATATATACCAGTTCGTAAGATGTCCAGAATGGTTTATTTACAATCAGACAAAAAAGTACATCATCAGCATAATAATGCGAGAATTCCTATTTTGACGTTAATTAGCCAACAGCTCGGGCGCAGACAACTTTTTTTTTCAATTAACTCATCGACGGCTGTATATCAATACATAACACTGTGTAATTGCCCCTCACTGTTTGTTACTATATGAAGCTTTGAAGGCGGTTTGAACGTTTAGTCTATGACCCGTTTCCATAATATGTTTACCGATAGATGATGAAGAGAGTCAGTCGTCTTGCACCTGCGTTTATCAAAGTTTCACACTCCATCTACTTTTGAAGCTATTTAGGTATCCACATTCTCACACTATCAAATGGATGGCTCGGCTACTCCTCCCTATGTATCTGAGACCATATGCACACATGTAAAGAGGTAAACACAATGGAGTGTGACGTGATCATTGATGAGGTGTTTATGTTTGTGGTGAAGCACAAAAGGTTTTCGTAATGAATCTCAAGGGATGATAATTTATCTAGAAAATTACAACAGTAGTGTTTAGTTCTAGAATAATAATTACACAGTAGATTTATAAAAGTTTGAACAGGTTACCTAATTGATAATTTGCATACCAATGATTGACAAGAAAAAAGAATGACTGATTACGTCAAGCGGTGAAATTACTGATGAGAATTGCATGAGAATAACTAGGATAAAGTATGAAGAATGAAACAACCAAAATTGTAGTAATAATAATAATAATAATAATAGTGATAATGATGATAATGGTAAGATGGGAGTCAAACTTGGGCCCTGTTGTAAGTTGTAATTCCATTTTAGTCTGTTTATTTTAAATGGCACATTGGGAAACAGTATTTATTTGCTAGATAACATTTCGGACATAATTTATTGTCCATACTCATATCATGTTTTTTTTTAAATTTCGTGTAAAGGCTAGCTGTTGTGAAAACTAACCTTTTTTTTATTGATATCAGCTCGTATATCATCTGTTCTGTGCTTTAAGTCACAGGAGTTATTAAGTCTAGATTGTGAGTCATTTCTACTTTAGCCTAGTACCATCGCTAAATAATTTAGGCAACTTGTTAGTCCCCTGTACTCCTGATGGGATAACGTGGTTTATGGAGTCTGAATAGAGTATCATACATTCTACTGGGATTATTAGTTTTCAGCATTAAATTAAACTATTTTAACTCACATAGAAACGGCTTCATTCAACATATCAGTACCCCCCCCCTGTGAATTTCTTAACCTTAGCCATAATATTTCATACAATTGGTTCCCTTCAAAGTTTTTCATCGCCTTCTCTTCAACTCCATACTGTTTATAAGTTCATAAAATTTTTACATAGAGAGAAATAAAATCCACATAATTCACTTTTCAAGATGATGATAGTCCACTGATGATATTATCAAAGAATTGATACAGATTAAGGAGGTTTAAATGAAATAATTTGTGATTACTAAAATTTAAGTCATCTTGTGTTTATATAAGGCTGCCTACCATCACTCATGATCTTCCTGATTGCGGTGAACTGGATCATGCAGAAAACCGTGAGTAGCGAGAAGATGGGCGTATGCTGGCTGGACCGATGAAAAGAGCCCAGAAGATTTGGGTTTCACCGATGATTTATGTCTAATATCTTGTGGCACAAACTCGAAGATCTGCAGGCGAAAACTAACAAGGTGATAGAAGAGGTTAGGCAGCAAAGGAAGACAGGACTTCCCTCAGGTGAATGTAGAGAAGACGGAGGTGATGGAGATAGCCAACCAGCAACAGCATCAACAACAAGCACCAATCATCATTAACGGGAGTCTCTTTCACCTACCTAGGCAGCATCATTTCAACTACAGGCGGCGCAGACGAGGATGTCAAAACCAGGATCGGGAGGACACCAAGACAGGCTTTCATTGATCTGAAATCAGCATAAAGCGTGAACCAGATCCGGATTTTCAACACCAACATCAGTCAAGTCAGTGCTGCTATATGGTTCGGAAACTTGGCGCGTCACGAAAAGTGTTTCCAACAAACTGCAGACATTCACCAATAACTGCCTACGCTGGCTCAATACTGAAGATCAGATGGCCAGAATAATAAGAATAAGCAACAAGGAACTCTGAGAACGAACCAACCAAGAACATATTACCCAACAAATATGCAGAAGAAAATGGAAATGAATTGAGCACACACTGAGAAGACCGATTGGGGACATCACGCGCCAGGCCCTAGAGTGGAACCCAAGGGGTAAACGACGAGTTCGGCTTCCAAGCTGAGGATGACATGGAGGAGATCATGTGGGGAAGAAATGAAAGCTTGTGGATAGTCTTGGCGCCAGGTTTTGAAGACTGCAGAGAACAGAGTGGAATGGAGGTGTGCTACTGAAGCCCTATGTTCCACTAGGAACCTATGGGATAAATAATAATAATAATAATATGGTTTATGTAGTCAGATTGTCATCCTGCTATATATGATCAATCAAAATGGAATAGAAAGTATATGTATGTGATGAGTTAATAATGTAAATATTAGGGTCAACATGTTTTTGTATACGTCCAGGTCAAGTAGTTAACGAATGGAGATAAAGTAGGAATTGATTACGAATTTACTTTTAAAAGGGTATGGAAAAATACAGAATTGTGAAAGGAATTGTATTAGTTTCTCAATTCCTTCACATGATCCTGTTTCTATATGTTCATTCATTTTTCAGATGTAGTCAGATTTGTTCATTACAACTGTTAAGTTGAAGGTTCCTAAAAGCTTCTCCTATTGGTTTGGATAAATTAGATTTCATTTTCTTTTATCGTTTCAATGATAGAGCACATTGTGCTCTTACTTCATCTGAAATTAAACTTAACGCTATTTCTATTTTGAGAATGATATCTTCTGATTTCAAGTCATTAATCGCTACTTTAAAGTTTAAGGCTTTCCTCTAGCAATTTTGTTGAGTTTAGAACTTTAGAGTGAAGAGATCGATAACCTCCTTTGACTTATCGATCATTGGTAATGTGCTATTGTTAATTTCATTATTGTTAACTGTATACTTTTCTTGTATAGGTTTGTTGAACTTCTTAATTTGAGGGATTTTTGGATATCTTGAATGTAGCTGATCTTACTTTATTGTAATTGTTTATCAGAAGCTCATAGTCTTTTAAACTAACTGTTTTTATCAGCTTACATTTTTAACTCATTGGTATAACTTCTGATGTTGTTCAACTTTTTGGCTATTCTATGAATTTCTTCTTTAAGACAGAGTTAACTAACCCGTTCTATTACTGCTTTAACTTTGTTTGTTGGACGTAGATAATTAGGAATGATTCGATTTCTAAGACATCTAATATTGAATATACGGTGGTTTGTGTATCTGCCTTCTATCTGTGAAAGTCGTGTTGATTAGTCTGCGAACTGGAAGACCAAATGTTTTATTTTATATAGGAGTAAAACTTGGGTATTGTCTTAGATGACATAATATGAATATGGAATTTATGAAATGAACAACGGAAAGAGTTATTTCTGCATAGGATACGTCGTGTGGATGACTAAAGTGTAGGTTTAGAGGCTGCACAAATTCCTTCTGAACATATCAGCTCCGTTTATTCTAGTGGATCATGATATTTTTTGCTGTATGTAAAAGATGAACTCGTAGAGCATGACTGAGTTCATTAGAAATGTGATAAATAAACCTTAAAGGTATTATTAATCTGAACTTGACGTCCAGTACCAACCAGATGTAAGAGTATTCACGTATGTATTGATCTTATCTATCCTTTATATATCCAAGATAAATGGTGTTCAAAATTTAGACGAAAAACATTTCTAATCGTTCTCCCGATGTAACTGACTTCAGATAGTCAATTGAACTTGCACACACAGGCGGACAGACGGGCGGAGTGTATTTGATTCATAAAGTAAACATCTTCCTAATAAACCAGTGGTCAGGACTATAGGTGAATAGAACTAAGAATTCCAAGTTGTGATGAACATCAATGTTTCTGTTTCTGAATCGTTCCTAGAGGGAGCAAAAATGAGTGTTGACATTTGGAGCATTAATTATTGAGATGAATGGGGGTTTTTAATTTAGAAGTAGTATTCATCGTGAACGCACACCACTATTGCAGAAGGTGTGGAAGGAAGGGAAGGTACCTGGCGATTGGAAGAAGGGTTACCTTTTCAAACTGCCGAAGAAGGGAGACCTCAGTGTTTGCAAGAACTGGTACGGAATCACGCTCGTATTCACCCCAAGCAAAATATTAAGCCGCATCGTCTTGGAGAGGCTAGAAGATGCGTTGGATTCAAAACTACGACCGGAACAGGCTGGCTGGATTCAGGAAGAACAAATCATGTGCAGACCAAATTGCAACGCTTCGCATCATCATAGAACAGAGTATAGAATGGCAGTCAACTCAACTTTACCTCAACTTCATTGACTTTGAGAAGGCCTTTGACAGCGTCGACCGAGAGGTAATTTGGAAACTGCTTCAATACTACGGAGTACCACAAACCTTTATCCGCCTCATTCAACAACTATATGAAGACGCCATATGCCAAGTAATTCACAATGGGAAGCTCAGTGATGCTTTTGAAATGAAGATAGGAGTGAAACAAGGTTGCCTACTATCCCCCATGATATTCCTGATTGTGGTGGACTGGATCATGCAGCTGACAACTGTGGGGAGCGAGAAGAGGGGGGATACACTGGACTGTGGAAAAGAACCTAGAAGATCTGGATTTCGCCAGTGATGACTTGTGTCTGATGTCAAATAAACTTGAAGATGTACAGGCGAAAACTAACAAGTTGGTAGAAGAGGCGAGGCAGCGAAGACGGGACGTCATTCAGGTGAACGTAGAGAAGACAGAGGTGATGAAGATACCGCACCAACAACAACAACAAACTCCAATCACCATCAACGGGAGAAACTTAAAGGAAGTAACCTCCTTCACCTATCTAGGCAGCACTATTTTAACTACAGGTGGCGACACAGACGAGGATGTCAAAGTCAGAATCGGAAAAGCAAGACAGGCGTTCATTAACCTGAAACCAGTGTGGGGATCTTCTGCACTCAGCATGCGGAATAAGATCCGGATTTTCAACACCAACGTCAAGTCAGTGCTTCTGTATGGTTCAGAGACTTGGCGCGTCATGAAAGGGATTTCCAACAAACTAAAGACATTCATCGACAACTGCCTCCTACGCTCACTCCATACTGAAGCTGAGATGGCTAGAAAGAATAAGCGACAAGGAACTCTATAAACGAACCAACCAAGAACCTATCACCCAAAAAATATGCAGAAGGAAGTGGAGATGGATTAGGCATAGACTGAAAGGGCTGGCCGGGGACATCACGCATCAGGCCAGGCACTCGAGTGGAACCCCCATGGGAAGCGACGAGTTGGACGTCCGAGGTGAGGGTGACATGGAGGAGATCGTGCGAAGAGGAAGTGAGAGCTTCTGGGCTGTTGTGGAACTAGGTTCAAAAGAATTCAGAGAACAGAGCGCATTGGAGACGTGCTACTGAAGCCCTATGTTCTACTAGGAACCCAAGGGACTAATAAATATAATTCACCATGGATGGAACAGCTGTCCAGTGCTCCCAGGTTTTCAATGGTTCCCCAACTGATGTCAGTCCATGATGAATACTACTTCTACATTTATTATTACTCATAATCATATAGCACAGAGTAATCACACTGCTTTCAAAATCGGATTTTTACAGTTCCATCACAACATATTTTTTGTTTGCATTAGAAGCAAAATTCTCTTCACCGCCCACTATAGATATTGGTTCGACGAAAGAAGATTTGGCAATTAATCTCTCTTTCTCTCCACCTGACTATACAACGCTTTATTTCATTTGCCTTTTCTCACTCGTTTATATGATTGCGTGTCATTGCATGGATTGCAATGGCCTAGTTTTTTTCTAATTAATTCATCTCATTGAGGGTCTATCATTCAATACTTGTCTAAATTCCTATACTACGATAATCTAACTGAGGTCAATCGGTTAGTTCGACCTAAATATTTAACCTCACTATGATTGCATGATATTTGATAGATCAAGTTATTTTGTTGAATTGGGTCAACTGGAATCCTTAACTGACAAAGTTTATCTCTGAATGAGTTTGCAGATATGAATACCACCCTATTTCCAGCCTTGTTGATAGTTCTATATAAAGTTTCTGTTGTTCCTCTATGGTAATATAATAGGAGCTTTGAAATCTTTTTTGTCTTTGTTCCCGTTATTTGTTTTTTATCTACTCTTACAGACTTTTTCAATTCTTTCTTATTCACTTGTGAGTTGTCTAGCTCCTTTTTTTGTAAACACCTCACTAAACCCGCTTTAATTCATATTGGATATGATAACCTGAAGCCTGGATACTTGTTTGAATGTGTTGATTTTTTTGTAGACAGTAATATCTGAACCACCATCTGTTCTTCGTTGTACAACTGATTTTCCTTGTTCTAACTTGTAAGCGAACTGAACTGCACCGACTATTGAGTTTATGCGTGTGAAGAAACAATCAATGTGTTCAACCCAGTGAGTAAATTTGTCATCCACATATCGTCACTATATCCTAGGAGTAGTATAAAGCATCGTTAAACGTGTATGTTCTCATAAATATTTCTGCAATGTCTACGGATGTTGGTGATCTCATTATTCTCACCCCTCCCTTCGTCTGTATTTTTAGATACTGGATTTCTTTTCCCCAGAGAATTGAATCTCACTGAGAACAACAATACGTTTTTTCAATGTATGTCTACATTTCTCTGATGAAACCCTAATACTGGTATCGTTTTGTCATAAGACATAACTTATTTTGCTCATAATCTAATTCTCCACACTGAGTTGTCGTACTCCCAGTTTAATGATAAGGTATGAAGCGGTGGAATGTGTCTATCATTTCGCTCACTTGGGAAGTTGCATCAGCCTGAACGGGTTGGTTGCTGACGAAACCTCAGCTGGGATATAAAAGACCTTTTTGACATTCGTCAACTAATGTCATTTGTGGCACCGACTGGCAAGATATCCGAATATCTGCCAAAGGACTAGTATACTTTTCTACAGTCAGTTCTCTCGTGTTGTATGACTGTGAGCATGGCCGTTAAAAGTAGAAGACATGAAGCGATTAAAAGGTTTTGATCATAGATGTCAATGTAGTGTTGTTCGTGTTTAGGGGAATCACCGTGTGAGCAATGTCGATGTTAGGTAAAGTTTATTAGGAAAGACGCGATTCAGTTGATGAGTTTACACATGTACTACGCATGCTTGATCCACTGCCTAGCTCTATGTGCCATCCTAGGGGAAATTCTATAAGGTTGGAAGGAGGTTCAGGGTGGCCACACCAGCACGTGACACAAGTCGATGAAGTCCCTAACTGTTGGTCTGAGTCGTGTTGGGAGATGTCGACTACGAGCTAGAGTTGCTGAGACAAAAGGAATCAGTGATTGAAGACTCTTGGTGACATAGCTGAAAGTCGGTGACAATGGTGAAGATGTATTCACTCTCTCTAACATCTAGAGCTCGAATATTTGCACTAACGGTTATCTTTAGGTTGTTTATTCTCTTTGTCTACTTTGATATCACTCTCTTTTTATCCACCTGCTCTATATGCATACTACTGTGAGGTGCGGCAACTTGGAGCGATGCAACTGTGTGCACGGTTGTATGTTGATTTTGTTTATCTGTCTCAACTTTAATGTAACAAATTTTCTTTTGAAGGTTAGGCCATTAGTTTCCAATTACATTCTTTCATAAAGGCTTCAAGGTCCACTTTATCAACCTATATTTGTGTTTACATTCTTCCTGGCTTGGATTCTACTGGTTTTGCAGTTCTTCTTGCCTATCATCAGTTGTTTAATATGGCTTCTCTCTCATAACTGGTTTTTCCTCGTAAAGTTAATGATATATATATATATATATATATATATATATATATATATATATATATATATATATATATATATATATATATATATATAATGATATAATAATTCGTAATACTTCACGTTGAAGTAAATTTGTCAGTTTCTTACTCTACTGTCAACATTGAGATGGGCTGGTGATTCAGTTTTATTTCTTCTCCTCTGTTTAGAAATCTATTGTGAAGTATACTGCTTATTTATCGTTCATTTTAGCCCATATTGTTCTATTGCTAAAATACAAGCTTTTTCTCTGTTTCCCTTCATCTTTGTAAACAGTTCATGTACGTAGCTACTCATAAGTAAGCGCAAATGTAGATAATTCACTGGGTACAATTACTGTTTATTCTGTATATGTTCAATGATCTTAGAAAAGCTGTAAATGAATTTTTTTTTTCATTCACAAAAGTAGATTTTAGTTGAATTATGCGTTTATTGTTTTTTTCTCTTTCTCTTATTATTTGTTTCAATACATTAACTTGTGAACTTCAATATGTCAATGTTCAATATGGACAATGCATATCAACGTTTACAGCAAGGTTTAACACCTGCGCATATAGCACGTAAACAACACTATGTAACTATCTTTGATATTCTGAAAACTGTGACTACAACTGTGGTTAGTTGGGAAGAAGAACGTGAAGAATTTGATCAAACTTTACTGTTGGAACATCCAGATTTCATGCGTGAACATGTCTTCACTGAACTAGATGAAGACGGTATTGGTAAGCTATTTTTAAAAAATGATTTTGTTTTTTATTTTCTGTTTGCATGTACACTGGGGAATAGATTTGAAATTATTCCAGTTGTGATGTTACTGATGCACACTCTCTATATCTTATACACATTTCAACTCTAAGCCCTGAAAAGATTGTTTAGCATCCACATCTTGCATTCTGCTATTTAACCCAATACGAGTTGAAGGTTGTCACTGGTGGGCATTATATTACTGTTCAGTCGAGTAATTTGTCAAAAAGATGAGTTATATATAGATGTTTTTATCAGTGGTAATTTTGGCTTCTTTTATAAAAGATGTCCTCATTTGTCATGTGGCATTTATTTGTGTATGTATGTGTGCATCAGTATTTCTAATTCTTTCGACTATGCATGAAGTAGAAATGGTGACTGTTATCTGTAGATTATTATTCTGTTTATGCTACATTCAATGGTAATAGTAGCAGTCACGCTAATATAATTGATGTCAGTTACTCTACCTATAGTCACACACACACACGTGTGGTGTGTTTTAATGTGGAACCTATCGCATTCGTGATCGTATGCTTTCATTCGTAGCATCCAAGTAATTAAATAGCTTTAGAAGCAAATGTATTTGAGTATGGTGGTACGAATTTCATAATTAAGGTATGTGCGCCTTCTACACTCGATTTCAATTCGTTCAAGATGAATTCCTGAGGTGAATTTTGCCTTGATAATTTCTAACCATCAGATTAGTAATTCATATGCACCTGTTCTGAAATTTTGTTAAGATCAGAGTGTATTAGAGAAGTTAAGCTGTTGAATGTCCAGATCAAAAGTAATATGTTCTGTAAAGACTTCAACTGCTTCATTTTCATGTTTCTCTTAGATAACATGATTTATGTGTAGGAGAATTACTGTATGGAGCAATACAGAGAGGGCTAAGCTATGGAGTGTACAATAGATTGTTCATCAACTGAAGTAATTCTAAGTAGGGGCGTTGTATCCACGTTAAGCCACTGTATCGACACCAGCGAAGTGTGTTAACTGGATTAGAAGTGAAATGGACACCTCACAATGTGACAGCAAATATCCATGAAACTTTTTAGCGTTTGACCTTTTTATGAAAATGTTGCGGTATGACTCAGTTTTACTTGTGATTTCGTAAGGTTGAGAAACCTTTTTAGTCTACCGATGATGGTAGTTTGGTGTTTTTTCTGGGTTTTAGTTATTTGTCGTAGACGTTTCATCACTAAACTTGTTGATATTCTCGCCACTACTTTCTTTTTATCTTCTCTCGTTTTTTCTCTTTTCTACTCCTGCCTGCATTCTCTTGTTCGTTTAGCATTATTTGAAACTGTTACCTTCATTTTTCTATATTTCCTCTTCTTTTTTATTATTTTCCCCATTTGTGAGTTCAACAAGTAATCATAACCGGCTGTACTTCATCTGTATATTCTGTCTGTAGTCAAGGGTTAACACTGTGTGATATCAGCGTTCACATCATTGCAGGTAGTTTAACCCTAAGTGCATTGTGAGCAACGTCGAGGTCAGGCGAAGTCTGCTAGGCACGATAGGCAAGTCGACTGACATGGCTTGCACATGTGTTTGTCATGCCGAATCACCGCCTACCTCGACCTTCCATACTATAGGAAGCTGGATTAACTAAGAATAGGGTTCAAAGTCGCCAGTCGATGAGGCCTTTACTGATGGCCTGAAACGTGTAAGGAAATGTAGACTGCCTGTTTGAGGTCTCCTGAACGAAAGAAATCAGTGGTTGAAGACTCTGGATGACATGGCTGAAAATCAGTCGCATTGGCGCAGATGTATTCACTCTCTCTGACATCTTCTAAAGCTTGAATATTTACACTAACCGTTATTTTTAGGTGTTTATTCTTTCTTAGTGCTTTGTTTACTTTGATACCACTGTTCTTCTATTCATTTGTTCTTTGTATACTACCATGATGTGTGGCGACTTGAGTCCATACGCTCGTGTACGAGGTTCTACATTGATTTGTCTGTCTGTATTGGGATTCATATTCGTGTAATCATCTGTGCTGAAATATTCTCATATTGTGATCAGTAATTGTAATTTACAATCTGACTGTTCACAGGCTAACACAGTTGTATTCATGGTTTTGCTATCTCTCATTGGCTGATAAAAGCCTTAACTTAGAGAACACATCAGTATGTGAACATATAGAGATGTCTGTTTAATTGATTATTCCGTTAACAGATAGATGATATTTCGCCAGCCGATATACACACCTTTCATCATCTGTCTACACTGACAGTGAACTTTTAGAGGAATAATCCCACTTGTTAAATAATTTCGGTCAATTATCCCCATTCTTCTAATTTGTTTATCGTTAGTTTTATGGATCATAAGTGTGTTTTTTTTTGTCTTGATATTGATATGTTAAATATTCCGTTAGCGTCATCCGGTCTTTCAGTTTTATGGAAAGAAGTGAAAAATGGTTAACATCCGGGATATAACATACATTTCCTTAACTAAAAAATCCTATTTGTTTACAGATGATTAGTTGCATTAGTCGCTTTTATGCTGATCAGTGATTCCAGTGGGGAACATATTATTATTACTTTGTATTTAAGGGTAGAGATTTTAACTTGCAAAATTGACTGTATAAGCATTTCTAGTAATATGTACAACTCTTAGGCTATTTCAATATGATATCCTCGTAAAGCTTGGGCTATTAGCCAAACCCATCGTGCAAGGTGAGTGTATGCTGTATTCCGATTGCCCGTACCTTCATTTTTATTTCATTGCTAATCCAACTGAGTCACAACTCACCAGCATAACTACTAATATCTTGGGTCAAGGATAGTTTACACTGATTATAACTTTGAATATTATTTATACACTTAAGCTTTTTGTGAAGCTTTATTTAGCCTAATGGGTATGCTATAAATATTTACCTTATTAAAAACCAAGCTTCAAATGTCTCATTGCTTTTTCGTAGGAACTAATTTGCCTTGAGTAGGTGGGAAGGTCTTCTTATCTTTGAAGTATCTGAGAACCTCACCACGTCTATCATGCAGTTGTTTTCGGTGTTTTCCCCCTGATGTTCATAATAGCGCAATTGGTTGTGTAACTTTTAAAACTCCTCTACCAGCTGTGTTAGTTTCGCAGTATACCCTTGCCTTTCAACGTGGATCTGCAGACGTCCGTCTATACATCATATCTGTCATAATATTGGCTGTATGTGCAGGTTGCATAGAATGATCCTTATGGTTATACGTAGGAACCACTTGATAAAGGTTGAATGGACGCGTGATAATACACTAAAACAATTTAGATGACCAACTTATACCTTATTTCATACTCGTAACACCCACCATTGAAAAACCGTACACATTTTCAATCATGAGTTAGTTGGACTTAGATACTTTCTGAATTTATAATCACTATTTTAGCCAAATGAAATTTTGATACTGTTGTGTTCTCTGATCTGGATGGCTTAATCGTGATGCTTACATCAACATCCTAGACAACATCATCAGCCCAAACTTCAAAAAGAGGTGAGCTATATAGGACGAATCAAATAGCGAACTTGCATTTTCAGGTGTTCTGATCACTAGAACGGATTCAGAAACATTGGAAAGTGAGGTATGCAGAAAACCAACTCATACGGATCGAATCCTCAACTGCAATGGCAAAAACGCAACAGCACACGAAATCAGTTGCATAAAAGTATTGTTCAAAAGAGCGAAAACACATTGTAGTACTTTAACCTTGCTGAGAAAAGAAGAAAACTATCTGATGACTGTTTTCCAGGAGAACGACCATCCATACAACTCATCAAAAGATGTTTCCAGAATTCGTCGTTAACCAAGAAGTCAGCCTCGAAAACCAACAAACGGAATGTCTTACCGTACGCGGCGAACGTTTACGAGATCATGACTAGATTATTGAAGCCTTTTGAAATTGCCGTAGCTTACAAGCCCTTCACTCTGTGTTATGCAGGCCAAAAGATACAATAGCAAAGGAGGATAAACCAAAGACTATGTACAAAATAAACTGCAGAAACTGTGAAAAACTACGTTGGACAGAGTGGTCGCCCTTTTCGTGAACATCAACTATCAGTGAAGCGTCATGACATATCTTCTCTCATATCAATGCATTTGGACAACTGCGGATATGAATGTGACTGGGAAATGTGAAACTCCTGGATAGATGAAATACAAAGAATGTCAGAGAATTTTAGAAGCTTGATATTCAGGTCAGACAGCAATCAACAGTATACTGACATTGACCTAATCTATCAGCCAATAAGAAACAACAGGAGGGTCAAAGTTCACGTTAACAGGACAACCAATTGACAATGATAAAACTTTGGGAGGAACAACCAATCACAAACAAGGCCATCAGGACAAGTTTCTAAACTTCCTGTCTGAAATTTTCGCTGATGGTATTGTCTAGAATGACAATGAAAGCTTCACGATTAAACCATCCAGCTCATAGAACACAATACTATCAAAATCATCTTCCTGAGAACTACAAATATTCTCCATCATCTTGTGTTAATTACAAAGAGTAATTTCTCCAATCCACACACACACATACACATAATATGGAAATGCTTACCTACCGTACGCATGCATCTATCATCTACCCGGTACTAACAAAACCAGACTGTTTATCACAATCATTTGACTGCCTGTTCTTATCACTGCTAACGGACGAAAGTATTTTGCGTTTAACCGAATTAAATGACTGGTGGAACTTGTATACATTCATCGAGTTCATACCCGAGTAACATATTGTAGAAATTTTGATACATTTTCAACTGTTGAAGCGTTGGGAAATATGATAATATTTGTGAAAACTGATAATTTATAAATATATCTCATCCTTTATCATAAATCTTTTATTTCTCTGACTTTATTAGTCTACTAAGAAAATCTTCTTTACTCTCATGTTTTTGTTCTTTACTATTCGAGCATGAAAGGTACATATAGCTAAAATATGTGTATTGTTTTCAATCATTTAACAAAATCGATGCGAGAAGACTAATTGCAACTGCTTCTGATTAAAATGAAGAAAGAAAATAGCTTCAACGTAAATTGACTGAGTTTTGGCAATGAGTGTGAACAGTAGTAATGGGTGATGAACATGCAGACAGGAAAAGGCATTAGTATTAAGTATATACTCGGCAATTTTTTAGACTGGTAAGAAAAGCGGATGATTAGTAGTGAGGCAATTACCGGAAAATATGACTCCATGATAACCTGTCACAACAAATGGTTGGGAACGATTGTTGAATCACGTTAAAGAACACTTCAACCCATTGACTACAAACGTTGGTGCCCTTCTGGGCTATCCACTATTATCATTCCTGTTTAACTTTGTTATAGACGTGCTAATGGACATAACTGTCGGTCTTGTTAGACGAAGATGATGACAAAGTACATTATTCTGAACTCCTTGAACAGAAATCTGAGTGTGCTTGGCATATGCCTTTCACATAGTAAATGTAATATGATGCTTCAGAACTGGTCTGCTGCTAATGTCAATTTAAAGGTGTGGATTGAAGCGATGACCACTTCACTTATCTAGGGAATTGGATTAAGCCGAATGGGTTAGTTGACGAAATATGAGGTTAAGTTCCTAAAGCTTCTTCGGCACTTGCAAAGTTACGACCCTTATAGTATCGATGAGGTACTCGACTACCTATATTAAAGCAATAGTACTATGCTGCAATTGGCTCTATCCTCCTATCTGGCTGTGAAACGTCTCCATGAAAGGTCAAAGATGTGGAAAAGTTACGAGTTTTTGACCGTAGCCATCTTCTCATTATTGCTCATGTGTATGATGGGAACATCGTTTCGAAAATATTAGGTGATGGGTACTGGCTTAGGAGGACAAGTTAGACGGTAAAAAAAAACTGAGGGTGGTCAAACCAAGACATGACAGCAGTCAATGAAGTCTCTGACTGCTGATGTGAACCGTATAGGGAGATACTGTCTGGTTGAGGTCCTTGAGACAATCGAAATCAGCGTTTGGTCGATACCCTAAATAACAGCTGAAATCCAATCACTGTGGGGTAGATGCATTCACTCTTCTACGTCTTCTAAATTTCTAACATCTTCATTAGCTCTGATTTTCAAATTATCTCTCCTGGAATAAATATATATCTACTTTGATACCACTTTCTTTGTCTCTATTCTGTCTTCACGTTCCGTTGTGGATTGTGACAACTTGAAGCAATCTATTACTGCGCGAGGTTGTGCTTTGAATTTGTCGGTCTGTCACTGTGTATACATCTTTGTTTTGTAATGCAGGTGGATTAACTTTCGATGGTTTTTTGGTTATCTCCTAGGATTCAGTAGTTTGATTGAAGCGAAACTCACCCATCCGTTACAGACCTATATATATTAGACCATAGACTCTACACTTTATGTCATTATAGAGTTGTTTAAACTAGTACGAGTGTGCAGTTGGCTTTGAATAATAAAATCGAATGCATTGAATATTCAACGCCTGAACAAACAAAATTTACATAATGGAACTATTTGGTAGTCTCATTTCACGAATGACTTTAAATGCCACCCCAGCAACTAATGAGATAATCAATCAGTTGTCGGTATTTCGTTTGGGAAAGTACTTTTCCTTAAAAAAAGAATGTAATTGACTGTCTCATCGGTTGTTAGGGCTGACGTTTCAAAGTCACTCTTACTTCACTACATATATATGAAATCAAGGGGGATAAGATAGATACCGATTAAGAAATGTGAACATGACTTATACGTCACCAGAACAGTAATTAGCTTTAGAAGTTCGAATTATGCTATTATCACCATAACGAAGTCCATCATTTCACGTTACCATAGATGTAGCCAACAGAAAGGGAATCATACTATTGGTCGACAACAATATACGATATGCGAGAGAATCAATGAAAATGTTCGCGATTTCATTACGTATAAGCCACTTTGGTCGTTTTTAAGTCACTCCACCATGAGTTTCCAACTGTTGATTCCTCTCCTCTTGAGAATCCCAGCCACTCAACCTTCATCTCTTTACATGACTGTTATCGAAAAATATGGACTGCCTTATTATTATTATTATTATTGAATCGTTTGTAATTTCCCGTTGTTATTCTAGTTCGAATTGATCGACCTCTGTTGGCATATGGAGACTCCCGTGCGGATGCCTCGATGTTGCCCGATTATTGATTATGTTGTAATTTGTTTGCTGACAGTTAGCAATGGAATCCAGGACGTGTCTTTCGTCCAGTTTGGGACTAGTTGACTGGATGTACCTGCACCCTGTTGAGTGATGTCCCCACTATTGGATAACGCGTTGGCATTTGAAACGACAGGCGCTATGTTCGAGTTTCAGTGGGAACAACAGCACTCACTGAGTTGCGAGTACATCTCCACTGACGAGTCCCTAGATAGGACGAAACGCTCGACCTGGGTTCCGCCGCTAGTCTCCAAACAAATTACTAAGGACTACATTCATTGATGTCATATCTTGGTTAATCCTATGTATATACTGTCCGTGAATTATTTTTGTAGTTCCGTCACCGGCAGTTTCACATAAAATACCCAATAAGAAACAAAAGTCGGTGAGGACAACCTAGTTTCGTCTGATATTGCAGATGAGAAAAGTGAGTGCTCTATCGCCATTACTTTTATTATTATTATTATTATTATTATTATTATTATTATTATTATTATTATTATCATCATCATCATTGGTAGTAGTAGTAGTATGTATGTATGGTAATTTTTAGACTGAATTTGTCTTAAAATATTTAGTTCTTCAATAACTAGATATACATCACGGAGCATTTCATTTATTCCAAATGTATCTGAAATGTGTTTTACCTCTGAAATGGATTATGCACAGAACTGGTCTTTCTCCTCATCTGTTATAAAATAAATTCTTGTGGTGGTGGTGTTTATCATGGTTATTAGAAGTGGATGGCACGAGAAGGCTCCAGATATTTTATGACCGTAGTCTTCTTGGCGTGGCGCACGCGTAAGGTTAAACCATCAATTTATCGATGCAGAGGCTTAGCGTATAAGTTAGTTGACAAAGATGGACAAATTCAGACATATATGCGTTGTTCATTACGAGGCTGTGTCTACTTCCGCTCAGTGTGTCAGATGAAGTATCATTTAGTTGCAAGGAGACGACCAAGCGAAGGCTTGACACCACTTCACAAAGTATCTGATCTGCAGTATTGGGTGTAGGGGAAATGGCTTGTGTTGGTCAGTTTTCCAAAAGACTCAGAGATCCGATTTTCAGGCATTCTTGGTGTTTTAGCTCACCGTTTATTGCATTGGTCTGGTTGCATCCCCACCAAATACTTATCTCTTTGCTTTTATCTTGATATGGGATATGACACTTCCAACGGGCATGCAGTAATTATCCATCTTACGTTGGTAATGCCTGTCTGTATGAATCGGGAAAAATTACCACAGTAAGTAGGCCAGTCATAGGATTCGATTGACTGATCTTCTACCAGCCTGCTTACTATCCACTGTGCTAAGAAATATACTCAATTATACTTTAAGCTGATTGAGGAAATATTGGCAGTGGATCAGGTGATCAAATCTGTTGATGAAGCGTCTACGATTAATAATCCCCATCATTTTGCGCTACAAATATGGTCTCTAATTCAATTTTTGATTTCAAATTTATGCATCTCTCTGTGGATGAGAGCCTCAAATATGTAAATATTTGTAATTTACTGGTTCAATGGGTGAATCACTTCGATTTCGTTGATTCCATTGGAGTAATTTATCAAATCTAATTGTATTGCCATCAATTAAATTTTATTTTATTTTCCAGATCAAACGGGTCTTTTCAGTACAACATTTGATAACACAATGTTGTCTGGAATTGAGAATGACGATATATGGGGCCAGTTGGAGTATATGCATACTACATTAAGTAAGTCTGCTGTCCCCTTGTTCATTCCCCTGTAGTGATAATAACCTATGACCCCCCCCCTCTTCCTAATCTGTATATGAAATAATGCCTTGCGTACTTTCTTTTGTCATGTGGTAAGCGTATCCCAGCATTCCACTATGTTGTCCGATATTCATTTGGTTCATCTGATGGCAAAACAACTGTACAGCATTTTTGTTTCGTGTCAATCAAACAAATCTGTAGAATTCTTATTGCTTAGCTACAGTTATTATGTCTCTTCCGTTTTCGCATTTGTAAAACCTTTTCTTCCAGCATCATATATATAATTCTATACTGGATTTGTTTATTTGATATATATATCCAACAATGATACAGTACTATTTACTTGATGCCGTCTCGAGCATAAATTATTGCTCATAATCATGCCTCAAAGTTATGGTGCGACTTTCGATATCTGCTTTTTATAGTCCTCTCACCTCATACTGTTTGTTTTCATTGATGCTAAAATGTCTCTGGTATAGGTGTTGCGTTATTCCTGTTACATGTGTTGGGTGTAGATTCAGTAAATTAGTCTCTGTCTCCACCTAATTATATTGGACTTAAGTACAGTGGTTTTATCCCACCCCATTGTGTGGTTGTGTGTTAATGCATGCATTGCAATAGCCAAGTAGCTTTCTTAGATTATTGACCTTATCGGTGTCTGCCATTCTACATTAGCTAAATTTCTATGTTCCACTAATGTAACTGACCCCGACTGGTTAGTTTGACCTATGTACTTAAGCTCACAGTCATTGCATATAATTCGGTAGATTAGATTATTTGGCTCATTATTATTATTACTATCGAGTTTCATTTTTGATATAAGGGTTTTACCGGCATGTTTCGGCACACTGTATTTGTATATCATCGGCATGAGAAGTGAGCTGCAACCCACACGCTTCACATAGGTAAACACGCCTGCCATATATATATATATATACAATATATATATATATATATATATATATATATATATATATATATATATGGTAGAGATCCTTCCACAGGTTCATCTACGGAAACCTTGTTACGACTTTTACGTCCTCTAAATAGTCAAATTAGGTCGTCTTCCCACCACCAATCAGTTGGGAAGCTACTTCACCGACACCCACCCAACGACTTCACTAGACCATTCAATTGGTAGTAGCGACTAGTGTGTTTACACAGAGCAGGGAAGTAATCAGTGCAAGCTTATGACTTGTATTACTAGGAATTACTCATCGTAGGGAATAGTTTCAAGCCGCGATCCCGGTGATGAAACACTTTGCCCAACCGTTTCGGACCAGATTTTCAGACAAATAAATATTGGATTTATCTGATCTTTAACGCGACAACTTGTCTCTGAGTGAGTTCGTAGGCTTAAATGTCACCCTAATTCCAGCCTTGTTAAGAACATGATGATTGTCAGCAAGGCAAAAGACTTTATCATCGTTGGTATAGACTCGTAGCTATTTCTTTATGAAAACATAAATTTGGTTTTAACCGTTTAATGGTTAACGCTCCAACGAAAAACACAAATTCCAGTTCATCTGTTTATTGATTATTTTGAACGATTTCGAAATATCGACTTTATGTTCACTATCAGTAAGGTGATGAGCAATAGTGCTGTTAGAGACTTTCCCACCTCTAAGTGATAAATTCCTTGAAATATGCTCAGATATGCAGTCACAAACCCTTCCCTCTGTTCGTCAAATATATGTGCTTTGGCAAGCATATCTGAATTCGTACATCCAGTTGGAGGTAACATGAAGAGGGAACTTGTCAAACTTTGATTATCTCAGTAAGCAATTCGTTCGGTAGAGTGCGATCAACCTAGCAGGTAGATAAGTCCTCTTTAAGGCAGCATTTACTCTATAATTAATACTACCGGAAACATCATCTTTGAAGCCGATTTAGGAAAACAAGCTTCTTCTCGATGATATCACATCCTACGGTTTTAGCTGGTAAATTCTTGTGCTTATTGATACATTTCTGTAGAAATCCGTAATCATGAAGGCAATTTTCCACAATATTCATTTCTTCTTCCAGTGTCTCTCTCGAAAAAGATATTTCATGCGGCTGAGCAGTGTTTTCACCAGTCCTTTCTTATGACTAATGGGACAAAAGCTGCATATTTGTTCACCCAATTGGTGTGTTTTCAATCGAGTCGTATCGATGTTATCTTTAATTCACACTGACAATTTTCTATCAGGCTGATACAAGTATGGAAACACTTATGTAACATGGTGTTAAACATTGTTTTAGATTGTAAGCAGCTGATGAGAAACCGCGAGATAAAATGGTTTTATGCTATTCAGCTAAAGCTGTTGCGTTCTCACACTTTCTAAATTTTTGAAGGGAAAGAATTGTATGAAATACTATATATTGCCCTGAAGTTTGACATTTTTTACTCAGCATTATTTTATAGGATATTTTCACTAATTTGAATTTATTCCAGATTACGCTGGTTCATTCGAGGAGTTACGTGATAAGTCAATTCATCGAATATTAACATACGATCTACCACAATATTTTGCATTGGTTACACGTGTTAAACAAGAGCTAATTCTTACCGGTCCAGAGGGTGGTACACTGACATCTAGTGTCATACCTGAAGTGCATGTACGTTTTCCTCCAGGTGCTTTACAGAAACGTATACGTGTTGGTCTTCAAGTTCATCCGGTTGATCATGAACTTGTAGCACGAATGCTTGGTCCACGTGTTTCAGTATCACCAATTGTAACAATTGAACCACGTCGACGTAAATTTCATAAACCAATCACTTTAACTATACCCTTACCAAAGACAGCTATTTCATCATCTGGTGGTGCTATGAAATCTCGTTCAACAATTGATTCACCTAGTCTTCGTTTATTGTGTTCAATTACTGGTGGTACATCTCCAGCTGTCTGGGAGGATATTACTGGTAGTTCTCCATTATCAGCTCACGATACTTCTGTGTCATTTACGTCTACGGTATCTGCAAGGTGGGTGTATAATTATCACTTATTGAGATGTTACACAATTTAACATTTTGACTAGTTTGTTAATATTATTACCTTGAAATCAAGGTTTCATCTCAGTTAGTGATGCATACTTATTTTATTTTGGTAAGATTATTCTTTTTCAAAGGTTTATTTCATAAAATTTGAGGTGATAACTAACAAAGGTGTTTTTGAATGTGCTTATGTTACTCTTCACGATAGAGAGCTAGGAGGAATTAAAGTCACAAGTTAACAGATGATATTTATGTTGAAATGTGACAGCTTCATTGTCAAAGTTCGACAACTGAACAAAAATGTTATAAAGGGGTGCATGCAAACTAACATATTTTGTCAAGTAATGCAAAACAATCGGGTTTATCAATGAATGATATGAATTAAATTTTTTTTTTTAGTTGTGAATTTGGAGCGATTTCATTGTGTACACATGCAGGTCAAGTTAAGAGAAGAAAACTTGTTTAGTTGACCAATCGGGATTAGTTGATCATACATAAATCGACCCATGTAGATCACATTCTTTGGCCAGCCAACTAGCCTTAGCAACCACTGACAAATATGTTTCCGGTCACCTATATCACATACTTGTTTGTACAGAAAAATATTTTCTACTAACAGTTAACATCAAGACAATGTTATAAGTATGCCTTCCTAATACATTTACTCCTGAACAAAAATGATAGTAGAAAACAGTAGATGTAGAGGTCTATCCTCTTGGCTTAAGCATTTAACTTTCTGTGTTCATATCCCATTGCATATACTTCGGTTGTATCAACTGCGCTCAGACAATGTGTTTGTCAATAACCTTAGTACGTTTACCTCTATCATCTTGAATTGTAAATTATTTCTTATTACAGCTATAAACTGAACAAAGACGTAATTCATCATACATTTTATACGTTATTCTTGCTTAATCTTGTTAATTAGCATAAGGAGAACTGGGCTATTTACCATTTTCCTATCTTCTTTCGATTGTTGTAGATTGTGGCTTGTCGACTGTCCTAATATTACTGAAGTTGTTGAATTAGCTAGTCGTGTCTATCATGAATCATTGGCAGTGCCTTATATTGGACAATTTATAGTGTATGCGCGTAGATTTCACTCTGAAGAAGCACAGCTACGTTGTCTATGCCTTACTGATGATTCTTCAGAGAAAACACTTGAACTCCAAGAAGGATTTCAACGAATTGCTACAGGACCGTGTATTGAAGTAAGTAGAGGTTAACATGATGCTCTCATTGCTTGTTTACTGTTTTTTTCTTGTTCATACAACTTATTGACCATAAAGTGTATTCTGTGTGTTTGTTAGTTTTCGGTCTAACTGAAAACTTCCTCGTGAGACCCAGCACTTGAAATGATACGAAATATGAAGTCACGAGTTTTGCATGGAAATAACCTAGCCTCACAAGAACAGAAATCCTACTAGAACATTGAATGGTGGTTAGTAGACAGCGGTTATTAAACACTATGTAACTCTTAATAGTTAATTTGCTTCTGACTGGCACTATACAGTTTATTTTTCAGTTGTGCATAATCTCTTTCCAGGTACTTCTCAGTGAGTATTTTAAACGGTACCACTAAGACATATACTATTATTGTTATTATTAGAACACAAACATAGGGCATTAAGGGCACCAAAAAATGTGCCACACAAAGTTATATAAAACTTTCGACGACATAAAGTGAAGGCAAGTGGATAGAAAGAAAAACACAATAAGAATAGAATGGTTAGAAGGGCAGTCTAGCAAGATGTATTCAAAGCAAAACATTCATTATTCTCCACAAACAGAAGATAAAATAAAGCTACAGCGTGACTGCCACTGGTTTTGATTCTGACCTATGTCTGATAAGGTCCCAAGCCAGCGAGTTGCGTGATCTATCGACCCCACCCAGGGAGTCATGATGCACCAAGAGATGCTAACCTGATACAAACTATCCTTCATCCTATCGCACCATATCATACACTGACCACCACTCCGTCTCTTCCATCCAGTTCTAGGTGTAGCAAACAATGAACGGTATGGAGGCTGATGGGGCTACATGCGTAACACATATCCATGCCGCCGAAGCTGATGTTTGCAGATGACTTCACCTATTGAATGACGATCTCTGTAATGCTCAAACACACACTGCCGTACCCCAGAATTACTGACATGATGTTGCCACGGGATACGAGGAATCCTGCGAAGACAACGATTATCGAACAAACAGAGTCATTGCACATCCTCAGCCAGGCCAGGTTTCGCAGGCATAGAGCAGAACTGCTTGCATCCAAGCGTTGTAAACCCAACCTTTTATAGTCAGACTAATGTCAGAGGTTGCCCGGATTGGCGTATTTCGATATACGGTTAGAAATATCATCACCCACAAACTGTCCAGAAACGCGAGCTTTTCGACTACTTCCAACCGGGTGAGCGCAGACACAGACTCCTGCCAATCTTTCAGAAGTTATTTGCACTTCGATGGTGCAAAGGATATATCATACTTACGGACATTAATTGCCAACTGATTAAATGGGGTTTGAGTAACCTATGTGTTATTTAACAGTAAGACAACATCGTCCACTTATTCAAGATCGATTAGCTTTCCTCTGGGTAGTGGATCTACATCACCATCATTCGTCTACTTCGGAGGTGTCTCAAGAGTGTCATCAATGACAAATGGTAATTATAATAATATGTAGGAAGACACAGATTCTTGATCATATCTCTATGACAGTAATTCCGATTTTATCTTTAGTGTTTGTGAGTTATCCATCCAGCTATGCTTCTCCTTCGGATAAGATATTTTCAAGTAAACTGAAATTTTAAGAAAGATATATCACTATGTGGTTAATGGGGTTAGCTTACAGGCTTTACATTGTCAGGGGAAATGAAGAGCAGGTCAGCGACACACACCAGCTGCTAAAATGATTTAGATTGTCTACTCTTCACTAGGAGTGTAGATTAAGTGATTTCCAAAGATATTTGTGATCTGTATTTTTATTATAGAAAAGCTAATCGTGTATTTTATATTTTTGGAGAAAGCGAATAAGCTGTCCATGGTATATTGGTTGGGGATCATATTACAAACTGAATCGCTAGAAATTCGGTCAGCACACTTGGAACCAAACATTAATTAGTCTACAACGGCCCATCAATGGATAGATACACCAATGAATTATCAATAGCTATGAATAGTTTACCTTCTGTCTTATATTTTGAAATGTTTTTATCGATTGGGTTTTTATGTCTCATCTTTGAACAGGTTCTTGATGATCATCCACACTGGATTGAAACAGCTGGGAACTTAGTCCCTGTCGCTAAAACTGAAGAACAACTGCAATTGGGGATGCATGCTTTCCGTGAAAATCGTTTAAACATGATTGTACGCGTTAAAGACACATCACAACCAGCTGTTGGGAAATTGGCATTTATGCGGCATCCTCGAGCCGTACTCCAAGCTGCTGGGTAATTTGATACTGATATATTTTTTGTTCATTTATGCCATCTTTTGTCATGAGTGTAAGCGTATAACCCTTGATAAGGAATGTAAGTCTCATCCGATAAGATTGTGAAATCTTACTAATTGAGAAGGTTGATACATGTATTTCGCATTCTGAGTCGTTGCTTATCTCTTTACAGAATGTTAACCCAAGTAGGATTTAATGGACGAATCAGTCTGTTGAGACCTTGACTGTTGATATGAATAGTCTGTGGATATCTGTCTGTCCAGCTGTAATTCTTGAAATTTCAGAACTCGGTGGTTAGTAGTAAAGTGGCTAATAGTCAACTGTAGTATCACAGTTGTACTTCCTATATTCTTCAAAATTCGTGACATGTTATTGACTTTCATCTATTGTCCAATATTGTTGTGTTAACGTCTTTTAATCTTCTCTATACGAAGTGGGACAATTTTATCAATAGGAATGCACTTCGATGAAAGGTTCTAGATTTGTATCGTTTTTATTTTCCATCCCACCTAGGTGTGTGTTTTTGTACTAGATGAACGGCTACTTTTTACACAATCTATCGTTTCTTCATTTTTAACATCACTAATTCAGTTTAAATTTTAAGACAGTGAATTCTTGAACCATTCAGCAATATATATTTTTTTCCCGCCAAAAAAGAAGCATTAATCCCCCAGGACTGCAAGACAGCCATCAACACAATATTGAATGTCGCACAATTTTAATTATGGTGATAGATGGAGACCATCAGTAGTGACCAGTTTTTTACCAAAAGAGTTTATTGAAAAATAGAGAAATTATGCTATTTTCAGCAGCAACGAAGAGTTATTAATCACTAGTCCCATCAAATTGAACAAGTTATGAACTGTTGACTGTGCTAAGAATGTAGTGGAACTACTAAATCCTAGCCGATCTTCTAATCTAGTCTATGCGTTCACTGACATGATGTGAAGTGTGTGTGTGCGCGTGTGTGGACCAAAAGCTTTTTCAATCTTTCTTATTACAATTTTATGATAATTATTATTTAAATTAATTTTTAATTGGCTCATAAAATAGAATAAATTATTTTGATGACTATCAATAATAAAAGGCAATATCAGTAAAAGTACAAAAGAGAAAATAAGCAACTGAAATTTCTCACTACTTCATCACATAAAAAAATTCTTTTTAAAAAAAAAAGTTTTAAAAGAAAAATTGCTTTAAAAGGTGTTATTTTTGGTGACGGTTATCCTTTTATTGTTTACCTTCACTGTTCTTAAGAGAATTAGTTTATATGCGTTGATCGTAAATGGTGAATGTAACCCAACAGTATTTTTGTTTTTGAATTCATGTGATAGAGTGTATGTAACGCATCTAGTGTTATTGTATTCTGTGAAGGACTAATGCTACTGTCTGATTAGCCTGTTTGTGTGTAAGTAGAGTACTGTTCAATCTTTGTGATCTGCCTAGCCCGTTGAATACCTCTCATTTAAACTGATAAGCCAAGTATTCATCTTTATTTTAGTAGAGGTAGTAGAAGGGAATTACCGTGGAACTGTATCTCATTGGTTTAGGGAGATGATCTATCAACCACTGGGTCACAAGTTCCATCCCCATCCCACCTACCGAGGTTTGTGCAACCGTGTAGTATCACTAGCTTATTGCCTACTGCACGGATGTGCACAAAGTTGATGAATGAATGGGTTTCGTTCGCAGGGAATTAGCTAAGTTCCGGAGAAAATACACCAATCATTATCGTCCATAACTTTTACAGTTTTCATTCTTCCAGCTTAACTTGAAGTTGTTCCCTTGAACTGGATGATTAGATGCAATGACTGTAATCTCTCTCTCCATCAGTTTCTATTGAAATGAGTTTCTTCAATGAATACCTCGATACTGACTAGCGGGACACGCGTTTCTTCCTCTTTTCGACTGACTGGTCATCTAGATGTAATTTCATCTTGATTAGTGTTGGTATTCCCATTGAGACTGGTAGCTAACCCCGACTACTTCACAAACACTAGAGTAGATCATCCATTTGTGATTGCCATGTTCAACAGGTCATCATCCTGGAGAGGCTTAAAGACGCACTGGATTCAAAACTGCGACCGGAACAGGCAGGCTTCAGGAAGTACAAATCATGTGCTGACCAAATTGCAACGCTTCGTATCATCATAGAACAGAGCGTAGAATGGCAATCAGCTCTATACCTCAACTTCATCGACTTTGAGAAGGCCTTTGACAGCGTCGACCGAGAAGTAATTTGGAAACTGCTTCAATACTACGGAGTACCGCAAACCTTTATCCGCCTCATTCAACAACTATATGAAGATGCTACATGCCAAGTAATCCACAATGGGAAGCTCAGTGATGCCTTTGAAGTGAAGACAGGAGTGAAACAAGGTTGCCTACTATCCCCCATGATATTCCTTATTGTGGTGGACTGGATCATGCAGCAAACAGTAGGCAGCGAGAAGAGGGGATACGCTAGCTGGATTGCGGAAAAGAACCTAGAAGACTTGGATTTCGCCGATGACTTATGCCTAATGTCACATAAACTTGAAGATCTGCAGGCAAAAACTAACAAGTTGACAGAAGAGGCAGCTAAGACGGGACTTCAGGTGAATATAGAGAAGACAGAGGTGATGAAGATACCGCACCACCACCATCAACAACAACAACAAACTCCAATCACCGTCAACGGGAGAAACTTGAAGGAAGTAACCTCCTTCACTTATCTAGGAAGCACTGTTTCAACTACAGGCGGGACGGACGAGGACGTCAAAGTCAGAATCGGAAAAGCAAGACAGGCCTTCATTAGCCTGAAACCAGTGTGGAGATCTTCTGCACTCAGCATGCGGAACAAGATACGGATTTTCAACACCAACGTCAAGCCAGTGCTCTTGTATGGCTCAGAGACTTGGCGCGTCACGAAAGGTATTTCCAATAAACTACAGACATTCATCAACAACTGCTTACGCTCGCTGCTGAAGATCAGATGGCCAGAAAAAATAAGCAACAAGGAACTCTGGGAACGAACCAACCAAGAACCTATCACGCAACAAATATGCAGGAAGAAGTGGAGATGGATTGGCAATGCACTGAGAAGGCCGACTGAGGACATCACGCGTCAGGCCAGTTGCTCGAGTGGAATCCCCATGGGAAGCGACGAGTTGGACGTCCGAGGTGAGGGTGACATGGAGGAGGTCATGCGACGAGGAAATGAGAGGTTGTGGGCTGGCGTGGAACCAGGTTCAAAAGATCTCAGAGAACAGAGGTCACTGGAGGCGTGCTGCTGAAGCCCTATGTTCCACTAGGAACCCAAGGGACTAATAATAATAATAATGTTCAACAGGTATCACTTAGTCTTTCATATAGTTCTGCTTCAATCAAATACCCAATTTTATTGTTTTACCATATGTTGAATAGTTGAGTTCACCAGCATTTTTAGTTAGCAGAGAAATGAAGGAACTCTAAATACTTGCTGATTAACACTGTCGGTATGAACCTTGGTGTCGACGGACACCATGTGAGACAGAATCTCTCCTTATGTTTAAAGTTAATGCTGGCCAGAAACAAGTGATTGTCGGGATAAAATTGCTACGGACGATCACCGTTGTCCGTTCATTGGCATACTCCTCAGATGCCTTTTCGATTGGCTCAGCTTCCCTACCTAAACATCAGTCACCTGCCATTTTGATTACATCTAAACGTTTTGCTTTCTGCACCAAAATTGACAGTTCCTCATAGAATTCGTCCTTTGTATCATCCAAGCTACAGTCGGGGGTTCGTAGGCGGAGATCACAAATAAACATCGTCTAGTTTCACGATCCTTCCTAGCCCTTACAGACCCATTCAGTCGGACAGCATATATATTGCTGTTTACTGGTATCCAGTCGAGAAGCTCACTTTCTGCTCAACGATTCAATGCTAAGCTTACACCAGCGTGTCTTTTGGGTCTCCGGATACTCTTAAGGTGAATTTTAAAGATTCACTGTTATGGCTAGGTGAAGTCAATTTAAGACCCACACTTGCGTCCTGTATACCTGTCTTAGAGACACAACATTCATTCATGGATAGACATTCCAGAGTTCCCACGAGCGATGCTTTCTGTCCGATTTGCCATAGAGTTCGGACGTTGAAATCTACATGAGATCGATAGTCGGGTCTTAAGAGACTAGAAATGACGTTTCGATGGCTTTTATCTTTGACAATGGTTTCAGAGTGAGAGATTGGGTAAGATGCAAGAGGCTTAATATGAGTATTAGGAAGGGAAAGCAAAGGAGGAGACAGTGTAGAGCAGAGTAGGTTATGTTTGATTAGGTCTTGTTTACCACTGGGAGCGTGGGAGTGATTAACAATTTTCGGCTGCCCACACCATGGAAAGCTGTTTCCTCTTAAGGTACCCGAAAGAGAAAACTATCTATGTAACCTCAGGGCCCACGGACACCTGCCTGAGACCGATCACACACGGCCTTTTGGGAATCTTAAGATCTTGGATGTTTGCTTTTGAATCCGACTATGAATCCCTGTTGCAAGCATCGTCATACTGCTAGGAGGTGAGGTGTTATTGTCGGGACCGACCTTTACTAACACACCCCTTCCCGTCGGGAAGGCAGCATCAGCGTGATACTCATCCAAAGGTAACACCTTACTATTGTCACACCCCTTCCCCCCCCCACCCCCTCAGATCCCCATCATAGTGTAGTAATTTCCATAACATTACATTTCTAACATGGTATGACCTCAAGGGAACACGCGTTCCACCATCATGACTAGTTGGGTGATATGCAAGCCCGACCACCACGTCAAGGCAACAGCTATCGGTCGGGATTAATAGCATATACTCTCAATTCCTTTTGGATTAGATTTGCTGTACATCATATCAAGAAAGTATGAGGAACGACATAGCAGAAAAAGGAATATATGATATGAGTAGTATCTAAGAAGGAAAAAAAGAGATTGATGGAATAAGGATGTATCGAAATGTAGATGAAGATAGCACGTGGATGGCATGTGCACCAACACAAATGATTATGCATCACATTATCTAAAGTTTCCAATTACTGGTTGGTCTACACTTCCATACAGTGCTCAAATCGAGAGTCAATGACTTCATGAACCATCAGTTATTCTTGATCCCGCCACTACTATACATCCATTTCCTAATTTATTCTACATCAGCTGACATTGAGCTTTGGCGGTTCACGCAGACTTAACATGCAACCTAACCACCGATTGACTACTATTCCACCAAAGAGAGTCCTAAACCGCGAACATCATCAGAAGAAGAAATATCCTAAGCCTTACACTTTCATTACTGTTCACAATACTTGAATGCCTAACTATGATTCTGCGTTATATGAAACATCAAAAAAAAAAGGGGGGGGAAATGGTCATTTATATCCGGAACTTTGTTTCTCTGTGTTTGCTGACCAGCTTAATTTCTCCTTTGTAGAATAGCTCGTATTGTTTCGTTTTGTTTATCGCTGTGATTGTCGTCTTCTTTCTTCAGTTTTTTGTAAATTTGGAAAAGGAAGAGAAACTTTGATCATTTCCTCTAAATCTCATCATCTCAAAAGATAGACAACAACTTTGTATAATTGTTTTCTCCACCTTCTCTCTACTTTTTCCTCTCTCCGTCTTTCTTAAATGGTATTTTTGAAACCTTGATTATTTTATGCATTCCCTGTATGTCTATTGCTATTTAATTACATTTCTGTCCATTGAATTCTCTTCTATTCTGTTATTCGATAAAATAGTTGTACTTCTTTCTGAAAATAATAAAATGCCACACTAATGTCGGTGTTTGAAGGTTGCGTTAAGCATATTCTGTGTGTGTATGTATTTGTGTGTGAAAAGTTACTTTGTATGTATGCAATTTCCTGTGTTCATATGAGTTTCTCACTGAACTAAAAAGAATACCAATAAACAAGAGGATAAATTATTCAGCGATGAGAAATAAATGAATCGATTGGATAAGCTTGATTTTTCCACTGTGTATTTCATGTGACACATATCATCATCCTGTTTACAGTTTTAATCATCATCTATGCCGGGTAACGCTAACCCAGTTATCAACATAAATTGTAAGTAGGTTACAGGTTTGAGTCATTGGTCGAAGCAATCGACTTTCAACCAGGTGTATTACTTCTTCTAATCTAACTGATTAGATTTAACTCATCAGTTAGTATCACTGGTTACCATAATAAAGTATATATGACTCGTTACCTAGTGCATGGACACGGATATGATCACTGTTTTTGTATATTTTCCGTGAGAAGCATTCAATAAAAGCCAGTTTAAAAACATACGTGCCACGTTTCAATGCTTTTCAGTAGTATAAGAGTTGCATCACCTCGAATGGACTGGTTGCTGACGAAATCTCAGCTCCAATACAAAAGGTCACTTCGGCACTTGCCAACCTCCGTCATCTCTCACGCAAAGAACAACTATACTGCGCCACTTCAGTCCGTTCTACCCTCTTGTACACGTGTGAGACATGGCCCTTAAAAGTAAACAAAATCACGTGATTACAAGGTTTCGATCGCAGGTGTCTTCAAAGCATTCTTCGCGTTTCATGCAATCACCATGTTAGCAATCTCTATGTCAGGCTAAAGGTATTAGGTTAGATAGACACTGGGAAGTCGATCGATGAGGTTGTGAACCTTCATCAGCTCAGAGAGCTTGCAAATGTACCTCACATGCCGAGCCACCGCCTATCTCGATGTGCCGTGTGAGAAGAAGTTGGATTATGTTGGAAGAGGATACAAGGTGGTGGCCAGACCAAGGCATGGCACAAGTCCATGAAGTCCCCCTTCTGATGATCTGAGCTATGTTGAGAGGTATAGACTGCCTAGTTGAGGTCCTCGAGACGATAGGAATCAGTGGTTGAGAACTCTTGGTGACATGGTTGAAGAACGTTTCAATGGGGCAGAGATGTATTCACTCCTTGACGTCTACTGAAGCTCGAATATTTTCACTGACTCGTTATCTTCAGATTGTTTATTCTCTCACACAACTTCGTCCACTTTGATGTCAGTTCTTCCTATCCGCTTGTTCTTTGTATACTTCTGCGAAGTATGCTAGTTTGAACAGATGAACTTGCGTTCTAGGTTCTACTTTGACTTTGTTTTTGTCTTATCGTTTCTAACTCTTTTAGAACGCATTTTGTTTATTTCATTTACTACGTTTTGGTATAATCTGTGTAATACTACGACTTCAGGTATCTAAGATGTCTAAAACAAACAGCAGTTTTTCAGTGTGTAAAACGACTATATGTAAGGAGAACCCTTGAAGGTTTTGTCTCCATCGTGTAAAATATCGTCTTCCTTATTTTGTTAATTGATTCTAAATTAAAAACAAATTAAATTGGTTATTTCTTATTATTTTAATGCGATCTCATATTATGATGTTTTTTTTCCCTCGGTGTACACCTGTATGCAGAAATGATACAATGCTATTGATGAATACTACCTCAAAATAAAAAATTCCCACTAACGTCAAAATATATTATTGTGTAGAACTAATTTGTGACATCCTTTGAGATGGATATCCCGAAGTTTTAATGAGATGCAGTGACCTGTGGGGTCAACGAGTCGGAAGTGAAGTGGACACCAGCTGGAAGACCTTGAAATGGCAGTTGCGTTACACCACGAATTGCCACGAGCAGAAAACTGTGAACTATTGAACTACAAACCCAGTTACTGAATGGTTAATGCGTTTTCCTTAGTACCTGAAGGTTCTGGGTTCGATCCCTAGCTGGATCGCGAGTGCAAATAGCTGAGGAGTCCCATACTAGGACGAAACGGCTATCCATTGCTTTAGGTTCCTAATGGTTATCCAATTTGCACGAGATATCATGGACCTAGCGAATAATACTAGCAGAATGTTCACTTTTGAAAAAATAACTATCTATTTTTTCATTTTTTCATACTGGGTAAATTGTTCTTTCTAAGAGGAAAAACAACGAATTCGTAAAAACTGTATGTTCGTCTCCTGTAGTTGTCTTCGGCGCTTAGTTTTTATTCCATCTTACATGCCACAGTTTGTGTAAAGAAAACACTTGTGTTAGTTGGTAGTTTTCAGTTGTGCAGATGAATACAAAATAACGTTCAGTATTCTAGACAAATCAGTTCCAGGTGTTAGTTTGTAGTTCATGGTTTTTTGCTTGCCAAGGCTTGAATGGCACGGCAGTTTTATCAGCTCATATACTTCAGTTAAGTCACTTTCGGACTGATAAAAATTGATTGAAAGTTATCCAAATTCACTAACCATCATAGGGTACGTGTTCACCAGTGTATTTGTCATATCCTGATTGGTGACTCAAGTTTATCAATCAGTGTTAGACGCCACATTTTTCATGTGATTGATTAATTTAGTGGATACGCGTATAACGTGATGGCTGCATCGGTAACCAGTTGGTGAAATCCAAGTCTACAGTAAACCCTTTTAGATCTGTGAAAATATCGTGACAGTTGAGACATTTTACTTCAGAATTAACTGAACAGTACTGGCTCGAATCTCCTGTGGAATGTGACCACTGATGACTAACACGACACTAAAAACCGCAATGCAGGACTTCTGGTTTACCATACTGTTTTGCATTTTCTATTCATATGTCATTTCCGTTTTTATATTCTTATCATTTCAGCCATTCTGTGTAGTAAAATTATATTTCTCATATACAGGTCACCTATAAAACCGGCAACTGTTTTAGAAGCTCGGTTGCCCGATGAAATGACCAATTATCTTCCAGGTGCTGTTTTGAAAACAACTGATATCGATGACATACCATCATATGTTCCTGAATATAACGCACAAGATGACTATCAGCATACCATTCATACTCAATCTGTACCACAGAAGTGGACCAATAAAGAAGGTTAGCGATGAAGGGTTCACTATTTACTCTTTTTGAAATGATGCAAATGCACTTACATCTAGGGATTTGGAAGCTAGACATGAAATTCTTCATCACTGACTCAATAGTTCATGGTCTGACGAGTGGTAATATTTCGACATTAATTGGCATAGAACACGACTTTACACAATCGTACACTGTTTCGAGTATGCGAATTCTCTAACAGTTGGTCCCAGTTATCTCTGGATGTGTAGGCTTGCTAGCTTGAGTTTTTATTTCCTTGTCTGTCATCTAATTACCTTTCACTTTGATACATTGATACTCTTGATGTGACAACCTGGTGAACTACTCTGCAGTTATTCCAAGTCATGTGTTGATATTCTCCGGCTGACTAGATTCTTCCATGTTATCTCACTTCAAATTATATTTAACATAGTGACAAGAAGTCAGTGGCAGTGAATATGAAGAAAGGAATTAAAATATCAACATAGACAGAGAATATGAGGGCGCACTCTGTATCGCTATCCATTTCCTGCCATATTCTGTAAAGTCTTCAATGCGCAGTGTCATCAGTGTGTCTGTTCGTCAGGCAAAGCATATTATTTCTACTAGTACCGGTTAATAAATGACTTACACGGTTTGTGAAAGGTGGAATAGGCGATTTCTTTCTTTCATTGAGTGTCATCAACTAAAAACCAGTTATCCGGATTGTTGCTATCAAGGCATAAGTCGTTAGAATTATCTTCAATTTACAACACCACGTGTAAATTAGAAAGTTATCATCAATTGGGAAGTCTTTTTTTACTTTTCTTGATTGTTCTAAATTAAAAGAAAGGCTACCTTCTCAAATTCACAACGAAGGGTAACCTAAGTCTTTCGAAGAACTGGCACGGAATCTTTCTCCTGTCCATATCAAGCAAAATATTATGCCGCATCATCCTGGAGAGACTAAAACATGCTCTGGATTCAAAATTACGACCAAACCAGGCTGGCTGGCTTCAGGAAAACCAAATCATGTGTGCATCAAATTGCAACGCAACGCTACGCTACACATCATCACAGAACAGAGTATAGAATGGCAGTCAACTCAACTCTACCTCAACTTCATCGACTTTGAAAAGGCCTTCGACAGCGTCGATTGAGAAGTAATTTGGCAGGCAGCTGCTTCAATACTACAGTTTTAATGCCACAAACCCTTATCAACTTCACTCAATAGCTATTTGTTGATGATGCTACATGGCAAGTGATTCACAATGAAAACCTCAGTGACGCCTTTGAAGTGAAGACAATAGTAAGACAAGGCTGCCACCTACTATCATCACCAATCATCTTCCTGATTGTGGTCGACTCGACTCTACTCGACTGCACTGGATCATGCAACAGACAACAACTGTGAGGAGCTGTGAGAAGATGGGCATACGCTGGCTGGACTGATGATAAGACCCCAGGAGAAGATTTGGATTTCACCATCGATGATGATTTACGTCTTCTCATGTCTTGTGGCATAACCTCGAAGATGTACAGGCGAAAACTAACAAGTTGATAGAAGAGGTGAGGTGAGGTGAGGTGAGGTGAGGTAGCAAAGGAAGACGGGACTTTTTTCAGGTGAACGTAGAGAAGACAGAGGTTATGAAGATACCACCCAACCACCACCACCAGCAATAACATCAACGACAACAATCACCAATCACCATGAAGGGGAGAAATCTGAAGGAAGTAGTCTCTTTCACCTACCCGCCTAGGCAGGCAGCATCGTTTCAACTACTGGTGGCGGCGACGGTGGCGGTGGCAGTAGCGGTAGCGGTGGCACAGATGTGGATGTCAAAGTCAGGATGGGAAAGACAGCAAGACACGCCTTCCTGCATTAACCTGAAACCAATGTGGAGATCTACTGCACTACACTTCACTCAGCATAAAGCGTGAACAACATCCGGATTTTCAACACTAATGTCAGTCAAGTAACTCAGTGCTTCTATGTGATTGTTGAGAGACTTGGCGCGTCACGAAAAGCATTTCCAACAAACTACATGACAGACATACATGATCAACAGTTGCCACCTACACTCAGTTGATACTGAAGATGGAGATCATATGGCCAGAATGGTAAGAATAAGCAAGAAGGAACTGTAGCTGGCTGGTTGGCTGGCAGGCAGGCAGGCAACGAACCAACAAGCCAAGAACCTATCACCCAACAAATATGCAGAAGAAAGTGGAGATGGATTGGATTGGATATACACTGAGAAAGAAGACCGTTTGGGGACATTACGCGCCAGGTGAAGGTATGCCATCGGGTGTAACCCGCACGGGAAACGCCGAGTTGGGTGTCCGAGGAGGGTGTGACATGGAGGAGATGGTGTGAAGAGGAAATGAGAGTTTGTGGGCATTGGTGGAGCCAGGTTGAAAAGAGTGTATGGAAGAGAGTGAAATGGAGACGTGTAAATGAAGCCTTATGTTCCACTAGGAACCCAAGGGACAAATAATAGTAATTGTTCTAAGTCAGTCAAAAAATAACAAGAAACCTGACCATATATCACATGACTTCAGCTCGGTATTCATTGATAGCAACTTTTGTTTGCCAACCTTTAAAAATAAACCTTAGCTCACTCTGCTTGCAGAGATAACTTTAAATTCTTGTTAAGCTATTATACAATTCAGTATGTATTGCTACCTTGTAAACAGATTTGTATATTTGCCTAATATTCTGTCTGTTTAGTTTACGAACTCATAATCCATGTATATAATGAGTAACCCTTTTTAAAAATAAATCTCTGTTACATAGATCAGTACGAGGAACCATTGGGTAAATCAGAGCTTGATCTGCGACAAGTTGCTTACTATCTGAAATCGGATTGGAGAATTTTAGCTCAATTATTGGGCTTATCTGAAGAGGATGAATATAACATCACTTCCATGCCTAATCGCCCTGACGAAGAGTACGCTTATACTAGTCTTCTACTATGGCAAGAACGTATTGGCAATGATCCAACCTCAGGTGAGTTAAGCTATGCAAAAAGATATTTTACATTGATTGACAAGTAACACTTGCGTATTTTATTAAAGTTAATGACTGATGATGTTTTTTTGATAGAATGTAGCTAATGGTGTTGATATCAGTCTGTTCTTCGCTTCTTCATTCACATAATATTTTTTAGTCTGATTTCATTCAGACACATACTGTTTCCGATAGATGGTTTTATGTAGATGAAACATAGGAATTACTTGTTTCCTTTCGTTTTTCTCATTGCCGTCATCTTAACACTAGAAGTTTTTTCTTTACATCCCCGCTCTATTCATCTTGGCATTCGCAACCGGGTCGTATCATAAGCCTTTACGCTACAGGGTTGAGATATACTATTCACTATATCTTTCCTTTCTTTACAAACTGATGAAAGCTTAATTTATAAAATTCCATATAATGAACGAATACTCTCTATTGACAGGATCCATATCTCATCAATATGTAAGTCCAGCATTGAGGATCTCATGCAACTAGAAGTGATGTTTACACTACTGGTCATGGTACGTCTCTCTCTCCATCCGATTTGTGTTAAGCATGTGCGAAACAGCTTTCTTTTTAATGAAAAACTAGGGAGATCAGTATATATATATATATATATATATATATATATATATATATATATATATATATGATAATGATGATTTCACTTCGAGAAAATCTAAGCAGTTCGTTTGGTATCATTGAATTGATCTTAAACAAGGTAATCATCACATTTGTTTGGTATTCTACGAGCTTTGAGGCTTATTTGGGATGTTTCGTCGCTAGGCTACTTCATCAACTCTTAGTTCTTTTGAAGTAAACGAAAGGTTTGAATCCTTTCATTATGAATAAGTGATCATCCAAGTGCATATTATCTACTTGAATTAATTGTCTGCTGTTGTGTTTTGATAGTTAAAAATTCTTGGTGTTGTGTGTTCTACGGTTACTAGGTACACAACTTGCTGAAGCGTTACAAGCTATTGGACGTAAAGATGTATTGGAATATTGTATGACGAATGTGTCACCTGTCATCACAAAAGATGAACGTGCTGCAGCTTTGCGTTCATTGAATGGGATTTCTTGTAAGTTTAACCTGATCCTTCTTCTTCGTCATAATAATAATAATAATAATAATAATAATAATAATAATAATAATAATAATGGCAATAATAATTTAAACTTGAATGAATGATTTTATACCTGTGACATTTCCGTTCACAAACCACGATGTTAACCTAATTAGGTTTGGGTCAAAATACCACTGAAGATGATCAGAATGGTAGATGATTCACAAATTCATGAAGTCTCTCATTGTTGGTCCGGTCCCTGTAGGCAGGAATAGCTTGTCTGGTTGTGAAGTTTTTTGAGATTTGTTAGTAATTAATGCTTGCTGACTCTTGATATGCCTCATGTGTATATACTCTTTATCGTCTACAAAATTTTGAACATTTTTCACTAGCTTTCGTCTTTTTTTTCCCACTTCTCTTATGCTCCATTTACGTACTTGTATGTGTTGTGCTGTGAAAAGTATGACAACTTGAACTGGATGCACTCGTGTGTTAGGTGTTACATTGACTTCTCTCTCCCTCTCTCTCATTGAGAGTTAGATCATGCAGGTCAGAAAACACCACTACATTCACCGAAATATAATTCCAGGAATTAACTGAGCATAGGGCAGGAAACCCAGTGGTCGCTGGGTTTGAATCTGGCCGTGGTACAAATTTTTATTTCACCTGCAGTCATCACCCAGTATGAATATATTTAGTTTTGATTGCAGTAGGATTGGACGGTAGACAAACGTCATCACAGAAAACGATTAACACGACTACAAAGTAACTGATGGAAAACTCTTGAGAATATTCGAGCTTCAGTAGACGTCAAGGAGTGAATACATCTCTGCCCCATTGAAAACGTTCTTCAACCATGTCACCAAGAGTTCTCAACCACTGATTCCTATCGTCTCGAGGACCTCAACTAGGCAGTCTATACCTCTCAACATAGCTCAGATCATCAGAAGGGGGACTTCATGGACTTGTGCCATGCCTTGGTCTGGCCACCACCTTGTATCCTCTTCCAACATAATCCAACTTCTTCTCACACGGCACATCGAGATAGGCGGTGGCTCGGCATGTGAGGTACATTGCAAGCTCTCTGAGCCGATGAAGGTCCACAACCTCATCGATCGACTTCCCAGTGTCTATCTAACCTAATACCTTTAGGCTGACATAGAGATTGCTAACATGGTGATTGCATGAAACGCGAAGAATGCTTTGAAGACACCTGCGATCGAAACCTTGTAATCACGTGATTTTGTTTACTTTTAAGGCCATGTCTCACACGTGTACAAGAGGGTAGAACGGACTGAAGTGGCGCAGTATAGTTGTTCTTTGCGTGAGAGATGACGGAGGTTGGCAAGTGCCGAAGTGACCTTTTGTATTGGAGCTGATATTTATTAGTAACCAACCCGTTAGGGCTGATGGAAAACAGCCTCAAGTACTATAATGTGATGACTGTCGAGTGCTTTTTTTATCCAGTTATTTTTTTGAATGAGATGTATCTTCTCCTTCTGCTACATTATTTCACTTAGGGTGCACCTATTTCTGTTAATGAACTTAGGATGGAATCTCTTTTGGATACGCTATTGTGCATTTTATGCACTGTCTTTTATATAGAACTACGAAGTCTTTGGTTATTTTTCTTGTGGTTGAAGTCATTCTCTTATCTGTACATTCTTGATTATGTAATAGAAAGGATAGAATATTCCGGAGTAATTCTTGGTCGGAGGTCAATATAAATTGCATCACAAAGGAAAGTTATATAATGAAGGAATAAACAAATGGTTACAAAATATCACTATTTACGTCGTATGTGGGTTATTTAGAGTGATTGATAATTTACAATGGGCATAGCAAAGAAAGAGGTTGTACGTACTTATTTGAGCACATAATGACGGTTTGAGTTTTTGAACTGCTAATGCTTCAGCTAAGACATCTAGGCATATTATTGTTATATATTCACGAATGTACAGTTAATGATTTCATCGATAAGAAAAACTTTTCTTCGCTGCAATCGTGTGTTTTCCTTGTTTAAATGGGATTAATATAAGTGTAAAACTTGGCCACTGTGGTAAGATGTAATTCCATTAACGCTCATATGATTATGAGCAATAATTTCTGCTTTAAACGTTATCAAGTAATACTGTATCACTGTGTGTTAAGAATCAAATAAATAAATCTAGTATGGAATTAAGTGGAATTGTTTCGATAATTAGTTATTCTTCGTGATCTCTTGAAGATATGATCCATTACCGTGACTTTCAAACAATTTATCCCTAGCTAAAACCTCACTGCTTCTCTTTTACTTTGACCTGGACAACCGGACCGTATCATAAGCCTATATGCACTAAGTATTGCTTATAGTACGTAACGTTGTTCTGTGTGGATGATATGCATTATTTTTATGATGTATGACCATGGTGAATAAAAAATTACTAGAAATTGTTTAACATATGGACGATACACCCTGAAATAATCAATAATTGTACAGACTTATTCAACACCAAATATTGAATGTGCTGTGTTATTATCATTATTTTCATTTGTGTTTCCAAGTACGTTCGTTGGTATTCTCTTTCATTTGTTTTACTTCGAAATTATAACAGTTTAATCTGACAGATTATTTTAGTGTGTTGTTTTTAGTCTTTAATTGAATATCGAATGGCTAAAATCTCATAATAAGATATGATGAATAACAGTTTTACTCTTATATAGCAAGATTCTCAGTGTTTAAGAGGTATTTGGCATGTAGATGAGATAAAGCCAGACAACTGGTATGTATCTGTGTGGTTAAATAATACACTAATTGACATGCTTATTTTCACCATTCTTTCTCTGTGTGTGTGTGTGTGTGCCTATCTGCCACAGCTGTTTCTCCAAATCTAAGCATATATCATGATAAACAACCCCATTCTAAACAAGGAAATGGTTTAAGCGAATCAATTGATACGGGCTACGGTACACAGTCAGGTTCCACTACTCAGATCACTACGACAATGACAACGGCATCAGCAACAATACCAATAATGACAGAAGCCATCTCATCTATGGTATCTGATTCAAACAACTCGAATCTCCTACCTGAAGTTGAACAAGAAATAATACAACCGATCACTGTTAAAACAGGTCGTGTATCATATTCTAAAGAAATGCTGGAATCAATGGAAAATAAGTATGACAATCAAAGTGGAAAGTATGATGTTCTACAAAAAATTGAAAGTGTCCTATCAGACAGTCCAAGTTCATCACTACTAGCTGATGACAAAAATCCCATGTTTACTGACGTGAGTATTGTTTTTTCGTTACTGCTTTTAATACTAACTTTTCACATTATTGATTAATTAATTGAGTACTATTTTTCTACTGCAAACATTTTCATTTTTTGTATTGTTAATCAAACTATCTTAGATAGTTTGAATGTGCATAATGCAGACGAAGGTTATCTGTATCAAGGCCGGAGGAGGAAAATAGTGTTAGGTAAAGTAAATAAAGATAATCCACGATTTGGAAAAATATACGGATAATAAGAAGGAATAATACATTTTTATACTTTCCTTGGCATTAAACTGAAAGTTTAAAGTAAACGAAAAAATGTTTAGCTTATTTGTACTTTCGTGTAGCTAAGGCTTCAACGAACGTAAGTATACGGTCTTGACAATTACTATACAATAATCTAAAGGCTGTTTTGCGGTCAATCCTCTAACTTGCTTCTACAATATGTTTACCGATAGAGGATACGCCTGTCTGCTTCCTGTATTTATCTGATTATAATTTAAAAATCCCGATAAATTATTCAGAATAAGACGATCCCAGTTGATAGTCGCCTCTGCGCTAAGCGGCTAAACGGCACGGTGAGAACTGAAAGGAATAGGGAGACTCGATGTTGTCTCTTTGTAATCTCTGCTTACACACCCACTGACTGTAGTTCGGATGAAGTGAAGGACGAGTTCTACCGTAAACTGTCTAGCCTCCTCTCGAAAGCCAAACGATCGGACGTGGTGGTTGTTGGAGGTGACTTCAGTGCACAGGTGGGTAGACTGAGTGAGGCAGAAAGGCACTTAGGTGACACTTTTGGAGTCCCAGCTGAACGCACAGATAACGGTGATCGCCTATCGCAACTATGCTCAGATAACCGCCTATTTTTAGCCAGCACAAATTTCAGACATAAAGAAAAGCACTGTCTGACGTGGTGTCCACCGAGCTCAACTCAGCGATGAACACAGATAGACCACATTGTTACTAGTCATAGCTGGAGAGGATCGGTGGAAGACTGCCGCTCGTTCTGGAGTACGTACTTGAACAGCGATCATGCGTTGGTCCGAGCACGTATATGCCTGCGTCTCAATGGACGTAAGAAAGATCTGGCAACAAAACCACTACGAGTTCTGCTGGACAACGGAAACACCAAAGCCATGTTCAGTGAGAAGTTGGCTAGGCAGTTATTGGAACAAAGGACTGTCACTCATCCAGAAGAAGCTTGGTGCCATCTTCAGTCTGGTGTAAAAGCAGCACTGGAGACTGTAGCCGACTCCAAAATAGTGGCTAGAAAGAGCCAGTGGATATCAGCAGCTTCTTCCGAACTAATGGATGCAGGTGAACGCATCCCTGCAGGCTCTGAGTACAATGAAGAGCGAGCGCAACTCAAAAGTAGACTGATGAAAAGTCTACGCAACGATCGCGAACAGTGGTGGGCAGCGAAGGTTAAGGAGATGGAAAAGGCAGCGTCGATTGGTAACAGTAGACAGTTATTTAGACTTATTAAGGAGACTGGGGGGAAAAGATCAACAACAATTAGTGAGGCTATAGCTTAGAAGGACGGATCTGTGATTCACTCGCAGGGGAGACGACTGGAACGATGGGCAGAACACTTCGAGGAACAGTTTAACTGGCCTCCAGCCACGATTGCGTTGCCCGCTATCCAGTCGGATCGTGAATGGAACATTGAGATAGGCCCCGCAACACGAGAAGAAGTTGAGAAAGCAGTAGGTAACCTGAAACGAGGAAGGGCGGCACGACCAGACAGACTAACTGCTGAGGTATTCAAGGATGGTGGTAAGGTGCTGTTAGTCAGGTTAACGGAAGTGTTAACCAGTATGTGGGATTCAAATACGATCCCCTCTGACTGGTCTAAATCGCTGATTATCTCAGTCTTCAAGAAAGGTGAGCAGTCCTCGTGTGATAACCACAGAGGAATCAGCCTTACGAACATAGTGTCTAAGATTTTAGGTTGTATAATTCTTCGACGCCTGAGTGGAGCTCGGGAACAGCAAGCTTGAGAAAACCGGGCAAGCTTTAGACCTGACCGTGGATGTTACGGACCAAGTATTCACATTGCGTTAGGTTTTGAAACACAGACACGTTAACTGGCGCCCGACAATAGCTGTATTTCTCCACGTGAAGGCGGCATTTGACGCCGTTGATCGAGAAGTCTTATGGCAATGTCTGTCACTGAAAAGCGTGCCTAGTAAGTACATCACTTTATTGAAGGCTCTCTACTCGAACACTTGCAGGTATGTCAGAGCCTGTGGTGAGATATCAGGTGAGCTGTACTCATCGAGTAGTGTCCGTCAAGGATGCCCACTATCTCCATTCTTATTCAGTTTTACCATAGATATTCTTAAGGAGGTTTCCCTCTCGTCACCTAATTACACAGACGTTGACCTAATCGGTGGAGAATTTTCGTTAGACCCAAAATATGCAGATGATATAGTCCTGTTAGGTGAAGATGCTGACAAGATGCAAAGTCTTCTGTACACTTTGAGTAGCTATTTGAGAATGTTTCGGATGCGTTTCTCACCACCCAAATGGAAATTGCTGCTCCAGGATTGATCTTCAACTGTGTCCTACTGCGGTAACAATAGAGAGTGAAGTGGTTTTAATGTGTTGACCACTTCACTTAGCTGGGCAGTAGGATCAGCCCTTCCCTGGTGGCTCAGTGGTCGGTGAAATCTCTGCACGGATACAAAAGGCTCGATTGGCTCGACTAAGATGGTTGGGATACGTGTTACGTATGCTTAGTCACCGATTGCCTCGTCACACACTGTTGGCTAAAGTAGGTTAAGGCTGGAGAAAGGTCCGAGGTGGCCAGACTAAAACATGGCACCATTGTATGAAGTCTTTGACTGTTGGTTTGAGCCATGTGGGGCTATGCAGACTGGGGGATTGGGGTCGGCAGGACACGAGGAACCATTGGTTGGAGACTGACTCTAGTTGATATGGCCCAGAACCGATGTCAGTGGTGCAGATGTATAGATACATTATCGTCATCTTAACGAGGCTATACCGAATCTCACCATTTTCTCATTATTCGTTTCTCTCTTTTAGTACTTTATATTTCTTTTGACTGCATTCTCTTATCTTCATCTTGCGCCTCACTGCCTTTTTATTTGATGTAGTGGTATGAGGTGTGGCAACTCGGATCGTTACGCAGTAATGTCTGGTCCTAGGTTGATGGATGGATGGATGGATTCAGAATAAAAATAATTGAGCAAACAATTACTGTTTTCAGTAACCTTCTTCAGCCTCTACAGTTATCAGTCCATGAGAATAAGTGAAATACAATAACCAAAATAAGCCATGATATACAATTATTACTATATTGAAATAGACAATGTCATGGGTTAATGGAGGTAGATCATATCGAATGGAATGGTAATTAGTTCAGTGTGTGTTAATTGTGCAATGCAATCAATATGGAGAGAACAATTACGAATTGAGGAGACAAAATATACATTTAACTGAGGCATGAATTTGAGTGTGTGTGTGTGTTTACTAAGTATGTGAATACTATTACGAAATGTAGAAATACAAATGTGAAGTGTTACGTAACGATTAAAAATGACTACCGGTAATGGTGTGAATAAGCAAGGGTATAACACGAATAAAATAAGAAAATAAATATTTATCAGTGTATAAGAACAAGATATATATCAACGATATGTATCATTGATACATGTCTTATT